GTGCAGCTAATAGCTTACTACCTGCTCTAGAAACAGTGTGCTGCTTCCACAGCCCAGGAGAACCATATTGGATAGTTTGTGGGGTTACAGCTTATGCTTAAAAAAAAAAAAAAGCCAGTCCTGGATGTCAGCAGAATTTAGGCTAACATTAGCAGCTCTGTCATGCTCTTTGTTGGCTTTTTAGGGAGGTTTACACTCCCAACAACCCCAGCCAACATGACACAAGCTAGCACAATGTTTGCTTAATACAGCAGTTAGTCCTCATGCCAGAAGCTTTTACTCATGTAATGTTAAAAGTAAAAACATTATACTTCTTCTTCATTACACTTGACATCATGATAATACTCAATAAACTAAGGTAGCTCTACACTTGAGATCATCATCTGGTGAGGATGCACATTTTTTGCATGTATTTAACTGTAGCCTCATACTTTTAGCATATGTAGCCATAACATATTTAAGACCTTAAAAAAAATAATATAAAATGAGTCAGCTGAAAACAGCAAACAGCATTTGTGCTGTTCAACTACAGAAAGCTTGACAGGCATAGCGGGGACAGGGCTTAGCCATGGGTGTATTAAGGAGAAGTGAGTACTGTGCGAAAAGTTGCTCACATGGTGCATTCACCAAGAAAGCCTCCACATTCCTCCTTCCTCCTCTCCAGCTCACTTCTTGAGCCCATACAGTATGCACACTAGAGTCCTTCCCCAGAGGAGCCAGTTGAGAGCATGTACATCTGACTTCCGCTAGCTGGAGTCGGCTTCTTACTGTTGGCTTCCCACACACATGTGAATTGGATAAAATTATTTAATACATACAATGTTACTGGGCAAATGGATCAAATTCTCATGATAATCAAAATCATTTTTGTGGGGTTTTTGATTGACAGTTTTAGAGCTAATCCCTTTCCAATAATTGTGGATGGTTAAAATGTTTTTTGGGCCAGTGTGCATCATATGATGAATATGTTGCAATTCCTGCGCAGCTAGTTCACCAAAATTGCTTTACTGCCATTGAGCTTCTTGGTTTGCTTCTGTGTTGTACGACCCACATGCACATAAGTGTTTCCCCCGCTGCCCCCATCTGCACATTTCCTGAACAGCCCATAGACTTTTACATGGATAGTGTCACAAAAAGCCCTCACTTTTCCTGGGTCTAGGAAAGTTCATTATACAATACAGCCATGGATTAAGACATCACATCACAAAGAGTAGTTTCCAGTGTGAGGTATCTTGTAAACAGTTTTACAGACATCTTTTTCACAATGTTTGTTGGTTTGTTTTCCTTGAATGTGAGGTTATCTTTGATGGTTAAGTAAACCACTGCACTTAGTCTTTTTCTTTTAGCTTATGGGTGCTGTTATTGAGTTCATGACTGTGAGCTCATGAAGTTTTAATAGTGATGAGTGACTATTTATGAAACTAATCAAAGCCTGGTGGTTAACACATTCCTAGTATGATTGGATGAAACTAATATAACCACAGCTTTCGTCCATCTTGTCAAGTTCCCATGACAGGAAGCCTTTGTGACACTTTCTGAATGCAGACAGGATGGGTAACTTGAAAAGTACCATCCTGTCAGACTTGTGTTCCTTTCGTTGCCTGATGTTGGACAAATTCTCACAGATGATGGCAGCTTCTAGTTTGTTCAGTGCAAAATGCAGTTAATTAAACGTCTCGCCCTGATGTGTTTTGTGAATATATGCGTAGGAGATTAATGAGATCAATTTCAGATTTGTGTAGGAGAGGGAATCAATGTCCCCAAAAGTCATACTGACAGGCAGATTAAGCACATCGGCCTAGCAGAGGGAAAAAAAACAGTCTCTCATCAGCCTGTGGTTGTCTCTCAATGTCTCTCTTTCACTTTCTCTCATTTCTCACTACTCTTTCATTTGCTCTTGATTCAGTGTAATGCAATTCAGTAGACTTTATTGGCATCAGCGGTACATGAATAGTCCTGGTTGAACATTCAAATGAAAATGGAATTCATCAAAAACAAATTCAATCAGTAAACACGTGTTACTTGTGTGTGATTTTGCGAATGTGTGTTTACCAGGGAGATCTGTGGTGCTCATTACACATGCAGGAGCAAATAAACAGTAATAATTATAATCACGCCTCTCACTTCAAACGCTAATCTAAACATTAGCAAAGTACACTGGAGTGGGTGGAAATTCTCTGAATCAACAGAATAAACTGTACTAAAATAAAACAACAAATAATCTAATGTATATTTGTCAAAGATTAAAATGTAACAATACGGCTTTATTAAGTTGAATGTTTAGTTGGTGTTAGCACTGACTGTCCCCCATGTTTGAATGTTTTGTGACTATGAAGCATTGGTGGTTAACCCCTCACTGGTCCGTCTGATGACCAGATGTGGGAATTAAATCTGTTTTAGTAGTTCATGTTTTTCAGTCCCAAAATATAAAATTTAAATTTGCCTGTTCTTTTGAGAATAGTATACAAGCAACATAACAACATTTGGTCTAGACTGTATTACCTTGACATTTTGTGCACAAGTTCATACCCCACCCCCAACCCTTCATCTAGCAACATCAACAGTTTGTTCACGACTCCAAAAATAATGACATTCCCATCAGTCTCAGTTGTACTTTGAGTTTAGTGCTAATTAGCTAATGTTAGCATGCTAAACTAAGAACATGGTAAACATTATAAGCATTAAGCATAAGCATTATCATGTGAGCATGTTAGCATGCTGGACATTAGCAATAGCTCAAAGCAAGACTGAGCCTGAAGGAGCTGCAATCATGGCTGTCTAGACTCTTGTTTGATAATCCGAAATACGTTTGCATATTTCACTACCAATGAGGCATTTGCTTGGATTACTCTGAATGAGATTTAAAACAAATTATGGCAAGCTTTTACATTTTGTTATATTCTCTGCCAGAGAAAAGTTACCCTGAGGCATTTGTAGCTGCAGGCAATAATAAAACAAGATGTGATGTGATTGTCGCTGCTCTGTTAGCTGTTGCCTGTAGTAAACATTGGGTCACCTGCATGGAAACAATTTAACAAATCTCTCTAGCTTCTGTTCAAAACCCTTTTGTATGATTACTATAACCATGTGCCTGTATTAAGTATTCTCTCTGCAGTACTGTCGATAAAATGCATGTTTTGAATCTGAAAAGATTGTTTTTCCTTTTCCATTCGCCTTCCTCTGTTCTGTCTCTCTCCTCCGCTCAGCCTTCAAGAACCATTTTGAATATGAAACCAGATTAGTAAACACATACTAATGCTCAAGGACTTTCGAAGCTGCCTCTTCCCCAGAGATAAAACATGAAATCCACATTGCAAAAGCAGAAAATTTGGGGAAATTGTTCTATTGTTGTTGTGGTTTGTGGTTGAAATAACATCATAACTTTATCATTCTCTCTCTGCAGTAAGTGTACATGAACAGTACATTTAATGATATCCTATGTTTTGGTACTAGTTTAGCAACAGTCTCTTACTCTATACTATACTGTACTCTTTGCTATGTTTTGATAATTCAATTTATTTGCAATTTTATTTGTTATCTTACCCCAAGGGAGAATAAATTTTTCAGTCAGGGTAAATGTGTACATTGTGTTTTAGTGAGTCACCTGTCTTTATCCTCCATCATCAGTTAATTTCATTCAGTTTTTCTATGCAGGAGAATCCACCAACCAGCCAATTCTCCCTTCAGCCTTCTCATCAACCTCCTCTTGACATTTTCCACCCCACTAAGGCCAGACCTCCCCTCCACCCTCTCTAACCACACATTTTTAATCTATACCATGTCAAGCTCTGTCTTTCAAATGGAAGAAAAACTCATGATATTATATTGTATAAACACAGATGGCTGGTTTTAAAACGTCCCTGATTTTTCTTCCCCTTTTTTACCTTAAGATATTTCAACTGCAGCGAAAATGGAGTTTCGGCAGCAAAAAGCAGAAAAATACTTAACTTTGAATTAACTTTTCTTCTTTGAAGCGTCTGTTCATAGACATTCAACAGACATATACATACTGTCATGATTCTGCTGCAGCATTGCCTTCTAGCTGTACAGGCACAACCCAAATGAATACAGCAAGTTTGATTCTCGTTTTCAAGGTTTCATCATCATTCAGGGAAATGTAGGGAATCACCTATAGAAATAAATTTAGTTCAATTAACCTGAGGAAAAGGAGCAGTAACTACCTTATCTCAACAAAAAACACTCTTGATATGATGTTACCATCTATACTGCTCTTGTATTTTAAACTTAACAACCTCAGTATACAGGCACTAAAGACATTCTCTAAACACCATGCTTATGTAAGACAGTGTGAATTTTAATGTGAGCACACTAATGTTTACTTTGGGTCTAGACAAAGGTCAGTGCCTTGGTGTTCTTTAAAGCATGAGCGGTCTGAAAGCATTCAAGGCAACCAAAATAAAGCGTGGTGAGATGAGAGGTCATGCGGAAAGAGATTTCAAAGTAAAATGTGATTTTGAATGAAATTGCTGTGGGGTTCATCAGATTAAACACCTCGGAGGTAAAGTAATGTATGCTAGAAGATAGAACATTGGTGAGCAAAAAAGACCAAACAAATATGTACTTAAAAATGTACAGTATGTACTATCTACCACTCACCTTAAACCTCAGTCAAATTTCCTTTACTCTTTACCTTGAGTGACCTGTTTGAAGGATCTGAGAAAGAATCAAACCCCACAATCACACACACTAGTGCTGTGTTTAAAGGCCAGAGACATTTGTCAAGATAAACTATGGACTTGTGAAGCAGGAAAAGGCCACACAAAGGCGCTCATCATTTATCTCCAGCTATTACCAAATACATTAAAGCTTTTCTGAGTGAATCATTTGCTGTAGGGAACATTGATTTCATATGCCATGTGCTGTGGTGGCTCTCGACAAATCTTCAAAGGTGATTTTTAGATAGAGAAGATTACAGAGGAGTTAGAGAAAACAGCTGTCACATTGATGTGTTTATGTACTTGTGATCATCCCTGCTATAGGTGCACTGTCCCAGAGTCAGGTCCACCCGCTCCTGGGGTCCTTGCCTCTGCCAGGTCGAGCCCTCCAGCCGCAGACTCACGCCCAACTGGAGCACTTTCTGCCGCTCAGAGTCAACGGCTCCTCGCCACTCAGCCTCTTCCCCAATTTCAACACGGTGAGATGCCGCATTTGTTGTCATGTTATATAGGAAAATATTTCAGGTCTGCATTGGCAGGTTCTCAATATCATTTAGCTCTGAACCAGTGGTAAACATATGATGAACACATCCCAAATATAACACTTCTCTCTCATACACACATATGCTGTATATGTTTGGTCTGGCTCTGAATGGTGAAGCAGCAGATGTTTATAGTCTACATTTAGCTTTAACCCTTAATGAGACTAATCAGAGGAAAGTGCTAAATGTATCAGGCATGTGGGAGGCTGGGAAAAGATTCCTGTCTGACACCCAAAGCTAAAAATATGACTCAACTAACACTGCTGCACTGTAGGGATTGAAAATATGATTAGAATTGGCCAAAAAAGATGGTTTTAAAAAGTGTGAAATGAATTGCAATTTCTTCATCTTTTTTTCTGAAAAATATCATCTCTCTTCAGCAAAGACATCGATGTTTAACATAAAACTGTGCGATAATCCATTCAATCCCAGGATGACTCAAAGCAAAATTTCTTATTTTATTTAATCAAGCAAATCACACAAATCAGCTCTGACAAGTCATTCTTCACTGACCTGAAAGATGGTGGAAGCAGTCTGGATAATTATTTTGTATTTTTGTATTTGTGCTTATTCAGGGCCAACTCATCAACTGAAAGATAGAAATCTATGCTACTACACTAGGAACACAATACGACAACAAACTGAAATGCACTTTATTGAATTAATTAAGACCATTCTGGTCTACACAACAGGTTATAACATGTCCAACTGATGCTGTGAGTTACAGGAAGCAATTTGCCCTAAATATGAATGTTAAAAGAAATGTCTCTGTTTTGGAACAACAGGATTTGTACTTCAGTCCTTTTATTGATGCTACAGTAAATATTTGTCAGTATCTTTTAATCTGTTCTATTTACTCTATCTAATCTATATTAAATATAAATGATTTACTGGGAGATTATAAACATTTTCTAATCACTGTACATATTTGTGCAAAAATTGTTTTGTGGGTTAAATATTGATAATTTTGTGAAGAGGAGAATGACAGGTTTAGTTGAGCGGAGTGTGTGTGTGTGTGTGTGTGTGTGTGTGTGTGTGTGTGTGTGTGTGTGTGTGTGTGTGTGTGTGTGTGTGTGTGTGTTTCACCTCGAAGATGGACCCAGTGCAGAAGGCAGTGATCAACCACACCTTTGGCATGGCCCCGCCCAAGAAGAAACCTATCATCTCCTGTAACATCTGTCACCTGCGCTTCAACTCCACTGTAAGTCAGACACTTCACTGTCAGTCTTTTAGCTGATGTCTTTGTCTTTGAGTTTTCAACTGGTAAAACTGTATTTGGACAAAGTCTTTGGTGGAAGGTGGAAAACTAACTTTGACCACACAGTCTGTTTTTTAGTAGAGCGTACTCATGAATTAAATCAACCCATGTTTTCATATGATAAAATGAAAGAACTATTAAATCAACATTATCTCACTTACTAAGTGTTACACATTTTGACCCTGTTGATGCATGCTTAAAGCCATCTTTGCCAGATTGTCTTATCTGAAGGTTATTTTTTGATTATTTCTGCTGTCAGGCAACCACATATTTGAACCACATTTAATATGTTTACATACAACTGGTCTTAAAAGAACGTTGAACAGGCTATTCTTCGTATCAGGCCAATCAGCATACTTCTGCTGCTTCAGTTTTTTTAATCAATCACTGGGTTTTTAAAAGGAAACCAGTCAGCTAATTCTATGGGGTTTTTTTCTCCTTATCACACCTCCCACTTCATATTCATTTGGCTCCCATTCCTGTGGAGTTTGTTTATACATATTTGCATTTATATTGTCAGGAGGAACCTGGCAGAATGACAATGACTCTTCTTTGTATGAATTGTGAAACTTGAAGGAGGCAGGACACTGGTGATGGACCATTATCCTACCCTTACTTCCTCATTTGTCTCTTTCTCTTTTTCTACTCTTTACCTTTGGACATATAGTGATGCTGTCAGGAGTCTGTTTCTTAGCTAACAGGCTCTCTCCTCCTCCCCTCTGTGCTACCTGCAGCTGAGCTGAGAGTGCTGGTTGACCCAGGAGGTGGATGCCAGGTTGCAGGCAGGTACCAGGTCCCAACAGGGGGCAGCACTGAGCAGCTGGAATTTGCACCCCACAAAGAAAATTGGTTAAAGGAATAGTTCAGAATGTCTATTTGTGTTTTATACTCACTGCTTGTGTGGTACGTAGGGTTTCACTGTCACAGACGTCTGCCATTAAATTTCACATTGGACATACAGCTTCAGCTTGCCATCCAAAGTTGGGGAAAAAGGGCAGCAGTTCATTGTGCTAATTTTAATTGGTTATTTTAGTTTAGAGTTGTTTTTATTGAGTATACCAATGAGGAATTGTAATAAATTGAGGAAGAAAATAAATGGAAATGAATAATAAGAAAAAGAAGAAGAAGAAGAAATTTGGGAATAACAATGGGCCTTTTTTTAACACTGCTCTAATCAATATTTTTCTGTTAACAATGGATGCAAGTGGTTGCTTGTCGTGACAAACCCACAGTGAATTATCACTTGACTCTGTAGTCCCTCATTAGCTCTACATGTGTTTTGGCATCTTTTATACAGCCCACAACTTCACTATTTTGTTTCAGTCTCACTGCTCTCCTAGTGTCATTTCAGCAGCAGGCAGCCGTTTTCATTGAAAAGCCTGTAACCTGCCCAAAAATAAATGGCAAAGTTAGTGACTAGCTTGTGAACATAGTGGAGCAATTAGCAGCTAAAGAGGCAGATATCTGTCTCAGGAGTTGGTGGAGACCAGAACAGGGAAAAGAGGAGAGTGACTGTTGGGTTTAAATTTGACAGGTGGCTCAAAATAAATGCTGATGGAGCTTCATGTCTGCTGGATGTTGCTAACACATTAGATATAACAACTTAATATGGTTATAATAAGTGTTTACAGCTACTTCCACCGCCCACCTAAACTAAAGTTAACAATGATATAGTACTGTAAAATCATCTTGGCAGTGGCTGAAGTAGCAGAGTAGAGAGCAGGAGAGTGCTTTATTGAATTAAATGAGGATGCGAATTTGACCGTAATGGAAAGCTGAAGCTGTTTGTTAAGTATAAAGACAAAAATCGATGACTTGATAACTACTACATATAATATGTAGTAGTCTATAGGTTTCGGTTTCATAACTGAAACATATAAACTACAATATGAAAGGTGTATGTAAGACAGAAATAGACTAGACTATTCCAAATTATTCCTTTAAGGCTGTAAACTCACTGAAAAAGCATGAAAGTTTCAACCCTGAAGGATCAAACATGATATTATAATTGTGTTGCCCTTTTGTGGAGGACAGCTGCTGCTCGCTGTGTATGAAGAGTTTGGGCATCAGTGGTGAGAGAATGCGTAAAGCTGCTTGAATCGAGGTCAGCAGAGGTCAGACTCCTTCAGGTGTCTTTAACTGAGGTTTTTTTCTGTTGTTGTTGTTATTGGTTTATTTTTTTAGGTTACTATGGTGGAACATAGTAAACCCATACTACACTGGCATGCCAGATAGTTCGGTAGTATGCAGATGAGAGCAGCTTCATCCCTCTGACTCAGCTGAAAATCACGCTGAATGGTTAATGTGCACTGACATTCAACGTAGCCAAAGGGGTCATACACCCTTTTGCTCAGCCCTGAATTCCCCACCACACACTTTGACCCACAGTGGTGCCCGTTCTGTTTGTGTAGCAGGCCAAGCTTTATGCAAAGTGTTGAATGGGAGACTTGTATCCCCTCCACTCTGTGCACACAGTTGCTAAAAGATCACCTCTACACACTATGAGTTTGAGTGTACATTAGCAGGGGCTGTACAGCGTGTGCCTGGAAACTGGAATGGATAATTTGAGCAATGACAAATTATCTAACAGCCTTGTGTGAAGCCGGACACTTGAAGTCTTGTTACACTGTTCCAAACTCAGACTCTTTGTCGATTTAGGGAGTGCACTTGTGTCTTTTCATATAGAGAAAGTGATTAGTGTTGCAAAAGTGTGTGCTCTTAAAGAATAAGGCTGGTTATGTTTTTATATTTTTCTTGTTTTTAACAAATCCCACAAAAAGAACAAAACCAACAAAACCAACAATATGTTCCATCCAACCTCCCTAGATCAACCTCAAGCCCATTCATGCTTACTGAAGATTAAAAATGTGTCACAAATACTGTTTCATTTATAAAAAAGGGCTAAATAAGCTCATCAGCTGGGCACTGTCATTCTTTTTAGCTTAAATAGGAGTAAATACACCATTTGTCAGGGTCTATTGTCAGTGGCAGATTATTACACATTCGGCGCTCTAGTGAGTATTTACAGCACCAGCACAGTGTATGTGGGATTGATCTTAATATACTGTACACCAATCAACAACAACTGGTTTTATTGTTGTGGCTGATTGGTGTAAACTACAGTGCCCTAGTTCATCATAATGGAAGAACATGTCACCCAGTGCACCATTGTGGGTATTTTATAATAGAAAAATAATGAAGGTCTACAGCAGAGAGGAATAAGCTCTTTCAGGGTTCAGCTACACTACAGGCCGTACTGGTTCTGGACTTATCATGGGATTTGTTGACAATAGGAAAAATACAGAATATCACCAGCCTTATACCCTTTATGACTTCTGCTTGTTCTGTACACTTGATGTTGTGAATAGTTTGCTGAAGCTATACTGAACTTTTCACCTTTTGAGACTAGGTTATACACCTTTTTCACAGAGGACACTTTGACATGTCACAGTAGGAAAAGCACAGGTGTAAAGAACATGATTAATGAGGGCTGAATTCCATGTAGCTGCCTCAGTTTCAGGGTCCTTGATTAGTGTTATTAGTAACACCTGTGCTTTCCCTACTATGGCAGTTCAAAGTGTTTGCTGTGATTATATTCTAAATGTCTTAATATGTAAAAGAGTAGTAAACAACAAACAGGTGTAATATAGTTACTTTGTGACATTTTGTCATAGTAATTTGACCAAAATTAATTGATTAAATAATAATAAAACTCAAGGTTCACTTACCAGCTTTTTCCTGGATTTTCATCTGCCTCTCATGGTCTTCATCAGCAAATTGAGTTTGCTAAGTAAAAAATGTTATAGAATATTAAACATGAAAAATATAAAACCTATTATGTAGCTATGTGTGTATTGTTGTAGAAAATGAGAAACAAAACAATATCAAAATTACTTATTGTATTGCTGTTTGTTTTCTCAAGCTATGTGGTGCATACAAAGTGTAAAGATTTGATGTGTTTTTATGGAAATACTAAGGTGTGTATGGGTTCCCAGATAACTGTGTTTTGCTTCAGCTGTTTTGTTTCACTATTGGTGCACTTCTCTTTGCTGGAAGCTGATCTTCCTCTGCAGAGCATGTCTTGCTTTATCTACAGCCACTCAGAGCCGTTTTTTGGATCCCAAATCTGCATGCATCTGTTGTCACGCTGCCACAAATGTGTTTTCTCTCACTGAGGAAGGCACAGAGGTCATTTTGTGTTGCAGCAGAACGGACACGGGCCATTTTGTGTCAGAACAAATCAGTGGAAAGATGAGCCAGTGAGCTCAGAGGATGGTCATGAGATGCCATGAGTCCAACTGATGCTCATTTGTGCACAACCATGACGATGATGATGATGATCGAAATGGTGACTCTTCCTCTGAGTCAAATGCTCAATCGCATAATTTTTCCCCAACTCCATAGAAGCATGTGAAGCCAGAGAGATGGAACAGATGGAAAGATTACAGTTTACTGATTTCATGCTGTCCATTTAATCACTTTAATTTAATCAGTGATTCAGTGCATATAGTCTACATTGACTTTCCCCTGTGCTTGTTCTGCCTGCTTGTACATATTTTTGTGTGAATGTGTGTGCGCATGTGATGGTCAGACCCAGGCAGAGGCCCACTACAAAGGTCACAAGCATGCTCGCAAGCTAAAGGCCTTGGAGACCCAAAGGAACCGGCAGAGGAACGGACACAGTCCATCCACAACGGGAAAAGACAGAGAGAGGGGGATGATGGGAGGAGGAGCGGTGCCAACGGACTCACATGTGAAAGACAAAAAAGGTATAAATCTTTCTTTTTTTAAAAGCACCCTCTCTCCATCCTCTGAGTAATTAGTGGTAATTGGAGAGACATAAGCACTAAGGCTTGGTTGCTGTCACTCAACTGGCTAATTACCAGCTATTACCTGTCCTGCTATCATTGGCTCTGTCAGATAGGTAATTGCTCCCATCAAGCAAAGACATTCTGCAAGATGAGAAGCCTTAAAGCACTTAAAAAGAGAAGTTTGACATCTGAAGTCTGCAATCTGACGATGGATGTCGTAGGGTTGCTTCCTTTGATTTTGATTTTGCATGTAAATCAACAGCGGCTCAACACAACTCTCACTTGCAGTTTCTTGTTCCTATCATGAAATATGTTGTCACTTTGTTAATTGACATGTCAGAGGATGTAGAAAATTATGGGAAAGCGGCAGGAGTATTGTGTGCCTACATGATTCATGTCAAACTCACACTTAAGAGCAGAAGATTAAAAGAGGGAAGAGGTGGAAGCATGGACGACCAGAGGAGAGCCTGCGTAGCCATTAGCAGTGGCTAATTTCAGTTGCAAAGAATAAAACAGAAGAACACAAATCTAATCAATTAACTTTCTAATTGCAAAATTATTTTAAGATTCACTGTTAGTGTAGATGTTGGAATTTAAATGGCATTAGCAACAAGAATTTTTCTTCAAACTCAAGGTTCATGGTGATGTTTTCAAATGTCTTCTTTTGTCTTACTGAAACTCAGATATTGAATTCAAGATGTTATGGAACTGTTGAAAAGCAGGTAATCCTCACATTTGAAAAGTCAGCAAATGTTTGTCATTTTTTCTTGAGTAAAACTCCCATATTATTAATCAGCAAAATTGATGCCAATTAATTTTCTTTTCTTCAATTAATTGACTAACAGTCTCAGCTCTAAAGATTAGCCAAGTGTGAAAGTTGCTTTGCAAGTTGCTTTGCTACTTTATTGCCCAGCTCAGTGCACAAGACAGAAGCAGAGGTGCAACAAAATGCTCTCCAGACAGATGAGTGTTCACTGAAGCTTTTGTTTACAGAAATATCTGCAAAATATTCACAAAATTACAGGATTTAAAAAAAAATCTACTCACGCGCAATTCTCCACAGTTATTGTGGTTGAGATGAAAAGAAATTAGTTTATTCAGGGTTTATATTGGAGAAAGGCGATCTAGACTTTCTAGAATCTACCACCTGATGCATCCTGGCAACGCTCTCCACAACCGACCGGGACTGAGTGTGAATATCATGCGGCCCCAGCCTCTCCTCTGAGCTCTGAGGGTTTAGGAATGTGGAGAAGAGCCAGCGACCAGTGCTCAGTAGTTTAATAAAAGTTTACGAATTAATCACAGATGTAAATGGTGATGGTTTGAGTTGGTGTGATCTTTCAAAGCAAAGAGATGCTTATGGAATAATTAGTGTCTTATTAGTTTCTTACCTTCTTAATGTTAATAACATTGTATAATTCTTCATTTAATATGAGATGAAATGAAACCAATGAAGAAGTCATCATAAAAAGATCCCCTCAGGTCTGAAGGCCACCCCATTTATATTGTACTTTATCCATTTTTATCTTTTGTGCAAAGTGCACTGCAATTATGTGCAAACAATGAAGGTGTGCTCCGATATGCCCTCACTGACCATGTTCATATTACCTAGCTTTACTTTGTAACTGTGTTTAAAAAAAACAAAAAACACTGGTATCAGCCTGTAAAAAACATCATGTGTAACTGTCTATTGTCCATGTAAACAGCACTTTAGCTTGTTAAAATACACAAATTTCCAGACAAAATACCAAGGACATGAGTGTCCTTAATGGTGGCCACAGCTCAGGATCCTTTCCATATTCTTAATGTTACAGCTCTTGGTTCTTCAGCAACCCTACCTATAAAAGAGCTGCTGTAAAACTTTGATGACTTTGGTCTCTTTTTCTCTCTCAGTCATTTGTCACTCTGCTTCTCATTCTGCCTGACTAAAAAATTTCGCTATCTTCCTTTTCTCTACTCTGTCTAGCTTTCCTTTTCATTATTGATCTCCCCCTCCCATTTTCTTCCAGCACCTATCAATTTCCTTCTAACCACATAATGATAAGCTTGTTACATTCAGCAGTTGCCATGGTTGTTGATTGATGGTCACAGAGGGAGCTTCAGCAGAGGGAGCGAACAAATGAAAGAGAGACAGAGGGAAGGAGGAGGAATGATTGAGATGGCAGAAAAAAGAAGGAAAAGATATGGAAATTAAAGAGATGATAGAGCAGAAAAGGAAAATAAGTAGATGCGGATGAAAAAGAAAAGTATAATAACAAGGTTATGTGAAAAAAACAGAACAAAAAAATGACAGGTAGGCAAAACAAAACAACTGACAGGAACGTCATATTTCTCTTTTTGCATTTGTCAAGAAACTGTATTTCTAACTTGATTGTGTAGAAATCATGTAGTGCCATGATATTATAGAACTGTGTTTATAGATTTATTTTTACCTGTACTGGCAATTATATGTCACAGATGACCATGCACAACAGCAGGTACACATGTAATAGTTTGTAGGAGAAAGGAGAAATCACAAAGCTAAAAAAACAATCAGATGTTATAAGCTTAAAAACTATATGTGGATTTGGAAATACATGCATTAATTGATATGTGTAGATATGTAAAATTCAGTTTAAAAGAATGCTATAATTTACTGTAAGTCCTGCTACTAGCATTTATGATCACTTTATGAACATTTCATAACATATAACATACACACTATATTAAACACTATAATGTAGATGCAATTGTATTCAGTGACTAAAACATTAGTGCTATATCCAGCAGCCACTTAGCCTAGCTTTTTACCTTTTGGATAGAACCAGGCTAGCTCTTTCCCCCTGCCTCCAGTCTTTATGCTAAGCTATGATAATGGCTGCTGGCTGTTGTTTTAAACTTATTGGACAGATATGTCCTCTAATCTTAGTATTTCCCAAAATGTAAAACTATATCTATAAATGTTTGGTCAATATCCAAAAGATTAATGGTTGTTTCTCCAAGTTTCTGTCTGCACTTAATACAATACCATCTGAGAACACAGGTAGTCTTCCCCAAAATAGTATAATGGTATACTTTGCATTAATAGATGTTTATCCTTATTCAGCTATGATATCAATATATACATCATATTGTAATATCACATATAAATGGGGTCATAGTGTAACCTCTGTTTTTATCTCTCCATCCTCAGGCCCAAGCACCTCTTCTCAACCTGCAGCCCAGCAAACTGAAAACGCCCAGGGGACTTCACTGGCAGATACTTCTTCCTCGCAGCTTTCATCAACGGACTCCTCCTCCGCACTCCGCTCTCCTCAGCTGTCCCCACAAGTCCCCCCTGCCTCTCAGCTTTCTGATCTAGCCTCAGAGAGTCCCCATGTGGACGGGTGCAGCCCGGCCACCGGTTCAGCCCCACGCTCTGACCTTCAGGGAAGCTCCACGGGAGGTGAGGAGGAGGTGGCGAAGGTGGACGAGGCTAAAGCGGCCAAGAGCAACAAAAAACAACATCTTCACTGTCCTACGTGCAAAGTTACGGTCAATTCCAGCTCCCAGTTGGAGGCTCATTGTAGTGGTATGTCCTATATGATACTAAAACACTTAAGTTAACATTTGTGAGCCACTTTGCCATTTGATCCTTGTTGTAAAAATGATATGGAAATGTTTCATCAACTTTTATGTTTAACAGATTGTCAAATGACATTTTTCCCTCTTTTCTGATTGGCTGAATCAGGCTCAAAGCACAAACAGATGCTGGACGGTCAGAACAGCAGCCACTCACAACGCAGGGTCAAGATGACATCATTGCCCAGACCCACCTGTCGAATTAAGCAGCGAATGGGCAGCAAGACCAGAGCGGTTGTTGGTGTATCCAGCCAGCCCTTTCACTGTGAATTGTGCCAGGTGTCTGTCAACTCAGAGACACAGCTGAAGCAGGTATTCGGGTTTATGCAAATATAATGAATGTGACTAGTTTTACTTCTATATAAACCACTTGCCGCTGACAACTAAAAAGACATATATTATATATTTATTAAATATATTACTTATATTCTAGTAGGTAGAATATGTCCTGACTGAATAGCTGATCTGTGTATCCCTATCCCCTCTTAGCACATGAACAGCAGGAGACATAAAGAGCGTTTGGCTGGGAAGCCTGTCAAGGCAAAGTTCACCCCCTATAATAAACTACAGCCCAGTGCTGTCTTAGCGGTAAGAATTTGTCACACACACACTCACACACATACACATACATTTGATTGCTTTTATTTTTGCCCATGTTGTACATTGCCATTAAAGAACATGTACCAACAGTACATACATATACTCAGTAGATGCAAATGTTAAGCTTTGCCTGGCACGTCGACATACAGTACTTGCAAGTCTGATAGCTGGTGAGTGGTTGATGCAAATAATAACAAGGTGTCTGTATGTGCTATTTGAAAATAAGTGACTTGTTTTAACTCAAGATTTGAAGATGCTATAGAATGAAGTTTATCTCTAACAATCCGTTACCTTCAGCTTTTCTGTTCAAAAGAGTGATGGAACAGCAGTAGGTGTTTATTAGGAAGCCACTACAGTTGGTGTACACACTGTATGATTGCCAATGTTTGCAAATTTTTGAAAATGCTACTATTTATAGTTTTGTTTTTGTAGAATTTAAAAAGTTCTTTTGTCTTGTGTGTTAGACTAAACTGGCCCTGCAGAAGCAGCTGTCCAAGGCCCTGCCAGCAGGTTTCCTGACCAGCCCTCTCAATCCAGCTGCCTTGTGCACCATGGCGCCCGGACCCTTGGCACTACGGCTGCCATCAGGTCCCACGGCCATCATACAGGGTCCCCTGATCAGCCCCACGCTCTTCAGGCCTGCCCCAGGACCTCTGAGGGCCACACATGCACCCATTATCTTCTCTCCTTACTAGCAATGAGCCAAACTAGGATGGATGACCTACAGTAGAGTGGACCTAACAGGGCCAAAGCTGGACAAAGCAGGGGACCCCTGAGTGACAACAGGACACTATGCAGCAACAGCAAGGGCAGCATATCAGCATGTCAAGTTTGGCAGGTTCAAGACATGAGAACAGTATGCACAATCCCCTGGTGCGGATCGAGATATCAGCGCTGACTGACCAGTGTCTCACTCCCTTAAAAATGGAAGGACCATCACTCAGCTGTTTCCTCTCAACAAACTGTTGAGTGCATGTTCCCCGGGGTCAGGACCCCTCTGGAAGCCATAATGACAAGCATTGTTAGTTTTACTTATAGGACTATAATAGACAAATACACTAGGGTGTGTAAATGTTACTAAGTGTTTGTTGCCAAAATTCCTTCATTTTCAGAGTTTTCTAGTATAATACTTCATCCCTGCATTTGTTTTCATAACCAAATCTAAATGAGGAAAATCCAGATTGTGTTAATCTCCCATGGCTCCTTCCATATAACCCCCTCCACCTGTGAAAAGACAAAGGAGATCCATATCTTTGGATTGCTGACAATGTTGCATCTCAACAAAATTATGTCATCAGCCATTGCCTGATGTGGATGCCTTTTCTTTATAGTTTATTTAAGATATATACACATTCATTTTTTGCTCTCTTGCTCTCTGTGTTATGAGGTGACAATCAACCACCGCCATGATAATGATGCCAAGAATACTTGCTAAATGGAGACAGACTTACATGTAATGCATACAATGACATTATTTAGTTAAAAAGAAACTTGCATTTCTTTGACATGAGCCATTCTAACATCTTCAGGTGACAGTTAGATAAATGATTTAAGATTTTACAACAGCTTGATGCTGTTTGTGCAATATGAAGCGACGGCCTGATTTGTGCTGTTGTCCAAAATTAAAAAATGTAACCACATTTTTAAATGTGTCTTTATTAAACGTGTCTTTTTTATAGAGTTGTATTGAAAAACTGTGTTCTTTCATTTCAAAAATCCTTCTCTCACCTGATTGTGCTGAATCATCCTAAGCAATATGTATTTTTGAATTGTCACCTGGTGAAATTGATTAGTGTAACTGTGCATCAACTGCAATAATGTAAATTATTATGTGCTAAAATGTCAATACTGTATTCTATATGAGCTTATAAATAGTACTGTTTTTTTTAAACAGTTGTGGTTGTTTTTTTCTTTATATTGATGCATGAGCCTTTTTAGGGTTCATAATAGTTTTTCAGTGAGTATACAGTACTTTGTTTATTAATATAGTTGTGGAAAAGAACACTATATAGATATAAATAAGAAACACTAGTTTTTAATCCAGGCACACTGTACTAATTTACATCATTAGTATGATACTGTTGTTATTTCAGATTACTTAAAGGTCAGCGAATATCATTAGCACAGAACATTTTATTTTTGAGAAAATCTATTTATTTTGGATCAACAAACAAACAACAAATGTAGCACCCTAAATGTGTTCGTCAGAAGCATCATCTAGCCTAGATGAATTGCACTTGTATGTGTGGTGAAACACTGAACCACAGCAACACAAAGAAAGTGACTCTTGTCATCCCTTAAGCTAGTCAAAACAATATGGTGTCTGAGACCAGGAAAAAGTAATTGCTGATGTGTCCCTCAAACAGGAGTATACCCTATATTTTATGATACTTTGGTGCCCTCTAGTGGTATTTCACAAACAAGAGCAAGATAGGACAACCCAAGGTGTAAGAGAAGGAAGATGCCAGTGCTTTTCCCTGCGCATATATACATTTATAACAGTTTAACAAACAACAAATTATGAGTAATATTAGTTATCATGCTTTTCATAACAATAGTAATATTAAAATTATTACTATTAATGCACAGACCTTGCTTAAAATCATGTTTAGTTTGTTTGATAGAGACCTGATACTTAAGGATAAATCATGTTTGCATGTTTACAAAGACCACTGTGCTAAACTGCCTCTTTGATTGATTTTCAATCAATGTTGTGTATTTTAGGAGATGATGAACCATAAATAGAACGTACATTCGATGTTTTTACTGAAAAAGTAGGCAAATGTGCTTTTTCAGCTCTTAAAATGGACATTATTTAAATGCAAAATTAGCTACAGCTTGTCCAGCTGTTTACTTTTGGCAGCTGGATCTGCAGGCTCTCAGGTGAGCTCTGATCTCACAGTGAAATGGGTGGATGTAAGATTGAAAACTAAATACAAAGATTAGGTTTAAAGATAGGTTAATGCCATAGGTTAATGCTTAAGGACAGAGCAACATGATATAAGATGAGGTTTAAAGCTGGTTAAATATACAGTGTATGGTTGAAACAGTACCACATTGCGGTTTTTTTGTTTTGAAACACAATTTTTGAAAAGCTAATATAAGTAATTTTTGAATATTCGTTTTAGTCTCAGATTTACATTAATACATGTAAAATATTGTAAATTTAGAAAAGAAACGCCCATGTTATGTTTTTGAAATAAATTTGTAGTGACCTAGTTTCAAATAAATAAATAAATAAATAAAAAACTGCTACCGGAAATGACGTGCGTTCGCGTTCGTCCTTTCCAGAAAAAATGGCAGCTGTTGACATCGACGTGCCGGTGGAAACAGAGCCCCAAATCTACAACCAGGATGACCTGGAACGGTAAACACATAATTATCCACTGTGTTTAATTGTGCTGCGCATATTAAGCTAAAATAAACCGACTGAATTTATCCTTCCGCTCGCTGACAAGGCTCAGAAACAACAACACGGTCAGCCCGGAGACAAGCTAACAAGGCTAGCTTGCCGGGAGTAAAACGGCAGCAGCGTGTCTCCACTCTGCTAAATCTTTACTGTAGCGGTTTTTATAAATGGCGGGCGTTAGCGTTATTTTCAGCGGTTGAAATTATACAGAAAATTTTGGACTCTGAAAAGCAACTGACGGAACAGTTGCTGGCCAGCGCTTCTCAAAACAAGTGAACTGTAGTGTTCTGACACATGCTCCGGGAAAGACATCCAAAAACTGTTGTATTTTGTAACTCACGTAGGTAACCACAGGTTTACTAATCTGCTTGTACGGTTACATTTTTTAATCTTAACATTTGAAATTAAGCATCAATACAGTTTCTTGCTGTATTTTCAGCAGCTAGTGCCTCTCCTCTTTCGAGAAACTTCCATACGAGACAGGCAGGTAGCTAGCCCTTAACTAGCCTTGGTGCTCAACTCTCAGATGAAGTTACAACTACTGCCCAAACATCTAAACAAATCTCAGTTATTTAAAAAAGAAGATTCCTTGATAAAACAACGACGTTTTCAATAGTTTTAGCAAAATAACGATGAACGTCTGGCGGCTTTAGCTAGCTAATGTTAATGAATCAGCTTGGTAGGCAGGTCATCGCAAGTACACTTTGTGTTTCACTTCAACAGTGAAGTAACGTGGTTCTAAGAAAAAATACATATAATGAGATATAAAATATATATTATTATAAAAAATATTATGTGTATAACTTCAGTTTTTACAATCAATACCAATGAAAATTAGACCCTTCCAGGCTCAGAAAAATGTCATATGTGTTTTTAAGCACTGAAATAATCCAAGTTATGAGAATGAGGGCGTTGTCAATGTCTCAATAAGGATCATTATGGTTTAGCTGTAAGGTTTGAATACAGTCAGTCTGTCTGAGCCAAGTTGAGCAGGAAAATCAAGGTGTTACTGTCATGCTATATAGAAGAATGTTAGTACTAAAGTTTGATAACCAGGAACCAAATTTTAAATCATATTCAAAGACAATATATATATATATATATATATATATATATATTTCCAAAAGACCACAATCTATTAGGATTCCAACACAACTGGATCTACAAAACGCCACATGGACAGATGAGCATTAGACCATCACTGTGACTACTATAGTAAAACCTTCAGAATTACCTCCATTTACATATAAATTTTTCCCGAAAGAAAATAATCAGATCTTACAATTATGTTACAATTATGAACAAAGACAAATCTATTTTAAATGCACAGTATGTAACTTCTCTCAATCAAAGCAGTAACAAAGGACAATGTTTGGTGATGTTGTGAAATACCATGGGATCATGGGAGTTGTCTTCACCACCATTGCCATCGTTGCAGTCACATTCGACTGGTAAGGATTTCCCCTGTGTCCTCCAAAGTTCTCTTCTTCAAAACAAATGGACCAGGTCATTAATACTGGTCACAACATTAAATAAAATAGCTTCACGTTAAAAATCGTCCTCAAGGGGCTGCAGCCACTAATGTTTGTTCAGTTTGTTTCTCTGAAAGCTTATGATCCAGATGTTCAGGAGGCTTTTACCAGAAGCTGAATTATCCGCAGAGGTCTCCTTTGTTCCAAAACATACAACTAGGTGATTCAATTAAATAAAAATGCAGAATAAACCAGGTTCATGTTAAAAATCTGTGTTTTTCCAACACTGTTCTGTGGACTCAGGATGTTTTGGAGGGTGGAGTTGAGCTGCTGCTAGCGTTTGCTTGGCTTGTCTGCTAACTAATGATTCAGAGGTCAGATGAGTATAATCCTCCATATGGTTTAAATATATAATTAAAAACAACCAAGATCTATAAAGTATATCTTTAAAATGTGACTTAAAACTGGATAGAAAAGTCCATTTTGACCGCTTTTGGCAGAAAACCACAACGCCGACATGCACACGGGGGATATGACGCTATTGACAGGCAACCAAATGAAACAGGCCATTACGGTTGAAAATTGCTGGAAACATTTGTGATAATGTAAATGCACGACTCAACAAAATATTAAACATAGGTCTAGTCATTTTTAGACATTTTAGTGCTTCGAAATTACATATAATACTGTAACTAATAACACACAAATCATTGTGTTGTTCTTGTCCATATTGAAAACATCATCCCAACATTCACAGCATAGGCTGGAAAAAGTATTTGTACCCCTTGGGTAACAGTATCAACAAAAGATAAGTCAGGATTTATCCAAGTCCAATCAATGAAACCAGGTTGGAGGTGCAGGTCAGAGGTACTGTGACCTATAAAAAAACACTTAAACATTTTGAGTTTCCTGTTCACAAGAAACATCTGCTGATCAAGAATTGTTGATTTTCATAAAGCTGAAAAGGGTGACAAAGAGTTTAGATATTGATCAGTCCACAGTCAGACAAACTGTCTATAAATGGAGATGATTTGGTTCTGTGTCTACTCTCTCTAGAAGTGGGCACCCAGCCAAGATGACTCAAAAAGCACACTTTTGGTTGAATTTTTTTACAAAGGTAATCCTTATGCCACTGGAGCACAACCTTTACATATGTGAGTAAATATTCTTAGCTGTGTGTGCCTTATCACTGATGTTGTGTATTGATATATTTGTTTTCATTGTATTGTTTGGTTTGGTTTTTGCATCCGTTATGGTCTTGGTCACTGTGGCACATGCCTCTACCAAGCCCTTTTTTCTATCAAACACTGACTCTTCCCTTTGCAAGTTTTCTCGTACTTAGTCAGTGACGTTACATCAGTTGAAGGAAAACGCCTACCGTGTCTGTTTTGGGTGTGGCCTGAATTTAAATGCTTCGACACACAGAGGGCAACACAACAGTAGAGTCTTCCTAATGTGAATCAGGATGATTTACCCTTTAGCACTTGGCATCTCTAGTAGGACTGCAGCAGGTGAATTTCACTGCTATGTTTAGTACTTCAGAACTGTGTGTACCCTGCTCTGCTGTCCCAGTTCCAGGTGTAACACACCACACTCGAGCCCCTTCAGACATACTCACACTCTGCCCAACCTGCAAGAAATTCTCAGATCGATATAAATGACAATTTGACTGGTTTCTTGCTGAATAATTTCTTTTTTTTATATCTTATCAGTTGATTTGTTTTATCTTAGTAAAGTACCTGTTCCGCATTGACATTGGTTTCCGTTTCTCTTTCCAGTCAGGCTGAAGGCTTCAAAGAGCAAGGAAATGCACTCTACAGCAGGAAAGATTACTCTGAGGCTTTCAACTATTATACCAAGGCCATCGGTGAGATTACCACTCAGTAATTTTATTTTTCAGTAGTTGGGTGGTTGTGCACAGCACCCATTGAACACCTGCTGTACATCTCTTAGCAAATCAGCAAAACAAATATCATAACAAGTGAAATTTTTATTAGCAATTGAGTCATTGCTCCCCATCCTAGTGCATTTTCCAATACATGTTCATACATAATTGCACATTTTCAGTATATTGGAAGGATATCTCTACTGTTGGTGACTACCCACATCTCAGTGTGCCTGTGTAACATGGATTTTTTTCTCTCATTTTAAGACACTTGCCCCAAAAATGCAAGTTATTATGGCAACAGGGCAGCCACCCTCATGATGCTCTGTCGCTTTCGAGAGGCCCTTGAAGACTCCCAGCAGGCTGTGCGGCTGGATGACTGTTTCATGAAGGTCAGTTTGAAGAGACACTCAACTCAGCGGCATCATCTTCATTCTCAGCTTTGCACACTTGTCCTCAAACCCTGGTTGTATTTTCACAACAGAGTTGGATATGTAGAGTTTTTACACAGTTTTTACACATGGGACATGTGCCCTTTCTGTTACACAGGGGCATCTGCGCGAGGGTAAATGCCATCTGTCTTTGGGAAATGCCATGGCGGCCAGTCGCTGCTTTCAGAAGGTTCTGGAGCTGGAGCCCAGCAACAGAGAGGCTCAGCAGGAGGTGGGGATCACCCAAACGTTTCTCATTTTATTTAATCACAATAGAAAACAAACATTTGAATCATATACCACAGTCATGGAAGTTAATTTGCATGACTGCATCCTCACACTCATCTTGTCACATTTTGAAGACAGCGCTGATAGATGACTATTTTATTTTAGGATAAGAATGCAGCAACTCTCCTGGAGTACGAGCGAATGGCAGATTTTGGCTTTGAAAAGCGGGATTTCAGAAAGGTATTTTACACCCATTCCTTGTTTTCACCAAACTCACAATGGGTACTTCCTCATCTCAGAGTGTTGTCTATTTTTATGACCGTTAGTCATAGAGTTTCTTAAGTTGTTGACAGACTATTTGCAGAAATCTTCTGTTTAAACAATTTGAAAATTTTTGTGTAACTGGAAAAGCAACATATAAAATTTTTAGCTTTTACGAAGCTCTGATATTTGCATTTCTCATGTCTGAATGTAATGATAGAGTGTAACAGATGTAATGTGTGGCTCTTGTCCTGATCCAGGTGGTGTACTGTATGGACCGAGCCTTAGCGATGGCTTCTGCCTGCCACCGCTTCAAAATCCTCAAGGCTGAGTGTCTGGCTCTGCTGGGACGCTATCCAGAAGCTCAGTCTGTAGCAAGGTAGGAATAATTGAGCTTTTATTATGAAGAAACAGGTGAAACAGGTTAATGGTGTATGATTATTTTGTTACAGTGACATAATTTTTTTTCTCCTGTCATTATTTTATCTTAAGTACAAATACAGGGGCTGTTTTAGTAGTTTTCCAGTAAGAGGTCTTCATGGCTGCTCTTTAAACAAAATTTTCTCTTACAGTGATATCCTGCGAATGGATTCTACGAACGCAGACGCACTGTACGTTCGAGGTCTGTGTCTTTACTATGAGGACTGCATCGATAAAGCTGTACAGTTCTTTGTCCAGGCTCTGCGCATGGCACCTGACCATGAAAAGGCCCGGTTGGCCTGCAGGGTAAGACTGTCATTTTGTGTGGTTGACTAAGGTTTGTACTGAGAAACAGGAATTTGTATGGCAATTCCTTTTTGTTTGAAATTTGTAATATTGAATATGTAAAATAACCCAATCTGAAATATGATAAATATTTCTTTAAAAGTAATACAGGGACTTTGTGTTTTCCTAAATCAGAATGCCAAAGCCTTAAAGGCCAAGAAGGAGGAGGGCAACCAGGCATTCAAGAACAACAACTATGAAGCTGCCTACCAGCTGTATACTGAGGCCCTGACGATAGACCCCAACAATATCAAGACCAACGCTAAACTCTACTGCAACAGAGCCACGGCAGGAGCAAAGGTAAAAGACTACAAGTCAACTCAAGTTACGTACTATATTTTGAAATAGGCTTGCACAGTATCCTCACGTCTCAGAGAGCAAGGATATCGTATGCAATTGCATGGAAGGCAGTCACACTGATCACCCTTGATCAATAATACTATCTGATTATTTGCTTAAAAATAGCAACCCTGCATAGCACTTGGGCTTTTCTAGCTCTTTGTGTCCAGTAATTTCACTGTCATTAATTCTTCCTCTACAACAGCTGAAGAAACTGAATCAAGCCATTGAAGACTGCACCAGCGCAATCAAACTAGATGACACATACATCAAGGCCTACTTAAGAAGAGCTCAGTGGTATGCAATACAATCAACATGAGTACGATTTCCCTAATTTGTGTGTTTTGTTGTTTAGCATTGTTCAGTTTTTGAATGACTTTTTGTGACCCTGTGTAGTTTCATGGACACAGAGCAGTATGAAGAGGCTGTACGGGACTATGAAAAAGTTTACCAGACAGAAAAAACGTCAGGTAAGCTGCTGCCATAGTTGTCTTATATTGTCTGAACTGATTCACTACCTGGTCATGTTTACACACACACTCACATGGCTTGATTTTCATTTGATTGCTGTAGATCACAAGCATCTGCTGAAAAACGCACAGCTGCAGCTGAAGAAGAGCAAGAGGAAAGATTACTACAAGGTGCTTGGGGTCGGCAAGAACGCCACAGAGGACGAAATCAAAAAAGCGTACCGCAAACGAGCCCTCATGCATCACCCAGGTAGCTCCATTGTGTTTTACCCACATGCAGAATGTTAGATTATATTTGATGGTTGTATATCATAAGGTCTCTGTATTTTATCATTATCTTGCAGACCGCCACAGTGCAGCAACTCCAGAGGTGCAGAAGGAGGAGGAAAAGAAATTCAAAGAAGTGGGCGAGGCCTTCACTGTGCTGTCCGACCCAAAGAAGAAGATCCGCTATGACAACGGGCACGACTTGGAGGATGACGGCTGCTTTGATGGTGGAGGTAAATGCTTGTTGTGGTTTTTTTTTCTTTGGCTGGATTTACATTCAACCTGCAGGTCATTAGTGGGATGGAAGAGAACAGTTAATGATAGGAACTGTGGGACCATCTTGGTTGTGTGTACATTGGAAAAAGCGGACTATTTTTCTTGGAACCTCATACAATTTTCACCGCAGTTTTACAGCCTTCAAACTGAATACCGTCAAGCAGGACAAAGGTTGATATTTGCTATGCTGTTCCATTTTGTCTGTTTTATGTAACTATAATAAATCAAATGTGCCTTTTTTTTCCACAGAAGACGTTTTGTCAAAGTAGGAAAAGCACATGTGTAAATAATACAATTAATGATAGCTGAATTAGGCTGCACGGTGGTGCAGTGGTTAGCGCTGTCTCCTCACAGCAAGAAGGTTCTGGGTTCGAGTCCCGGCTCAGTCGCAGGATCTTTCTGTGTGGAGTTTGCATGTTCTCCCCGTGCCTGTGTGGGTTCTCTCCGGGTACTCCGGCTTCCTCCCACAGTCCAAAGACATGCAAATGGGGACTAGGCTAATTGGGTACTCTAAATTGACCGTAAGTGTGGCTGTGAGTGTGAATGGTTGTCTGTCTATATGTGTTTGCCCTGTGATGGACTGGCGACCTGTCCAGGGTGTATCCTCGCCCGAAAAGATGCTGGGATAGGTTCCAGCCCCCCCGCAACCCTGCTAGAGGATAAGCGGAAGAAAATGGGGATGGGATAGCTGAATTACATTTGGCTACCTAAGTTTCAGGGTGTTGATACTGTGCATGCTGGCTCACTGTCAGACTGTCATAGCTTTCGGGGACACAGAGCACCTGTGTTTTTCCTACTATAAGTCAGAATGTATGCGGTGAAAAAAGCCTGTTGTAACCTAATGTGGCACATGTCCCCATTCCAGCTGATAGTACATAGAAAATCTTAAGATCGTCTGTCCCTAGGGGGCGCCACAGGTTCTAAACATTTTTACTGGCACAAATAATGTACTTCATTGCAAAAATCTTTCTAAAATTATGTAATGTGTTTGAGGGTTATATCAATATGATTGATTGTGATTAATTAAAGTGAGCAGAGTTTTTAGGCAAATGATCCAAATGATAGTATTTGCACTCTAAACATTTTAAAAAAAACAGCAGAAACCCAATTTATCTTTTTTCCATATTCACTGTGATATACATAGTTGTTTTTAAGTATTAAGCACTTTATTTAAGTTTTGAAAGTTATGTCATCTTAATTTCCATTTTGTTCCTGAAGGCCATCATCACCTGCTAATCCCACCATATTTGCCTTTGCTTTCTCTCTAGATTTTGATGCCAACAACATCTTCAGGGCTTTCTTTGGTGGCCATGGTGGAGGATTTAGTTTCGATTCCAGCCCAGGTGTGTTTCTTTCCAGTTTAAACACCTTTTAAGTTTATTGAAACATGGGAGAATCACTTTGAGAAGGTGCTTTCTATTAACCAAGTTATTTCTCTTTTTTTTTTTTTTTTTACTTTTTCCAGACTCTGGACCAGGAAATTTCTTCTTCCAATTTGGCTAAAGCAAAGGACCATGTGGGAAAATGGCAGCCCTGCAGAGGACAAAATCAAGTTGGACCCACAGTCACTTTGTAATGCTCATACTCCTGCAAAATCTCCCAACATTTTTTTTTTTTTTTTCAAGAGATTTCTGATTATTGCATTCACTACTAAATTTACTCCTTACATTGATGCTAACAAACATTGGGAAGGACAATTCAGAGGCTTTAGTTATAAATTAATGAAGATAAAGAAGTTTGGATCAGCTGATTCAAAGCATGTCATTACCAAAAATCTTATTTCTAATTAAATCTAATCTTGTAAAACTGCCTCAACCTTCCTAAAGGTGATCAGTAAGGAAAGCTTTGGAAATATAAGCATCATGGTTGACTATCTTTTAGAAAACATAACATGACATACATTTTAGGGTTCTCCTGGGACAGCAGGTCTATTGAGCAAGAGGCAATGTACTGTTGAAGTTCAACGTCAAAACTGACCTCAGGACAGCCTGTTGTGGACAACACTGGTCTCTTGCAAATGTGTGTCCAGGTTTTATTGGCTCACTTGCCAAATATAGAATCGACTTGCTGGGCTTTTGTTTCTTCTCCTCTTCTCCATGCTGCATTGTATATTTGATTCGAATGTACAGCATTTTGTGTCCATAAACTTTTATTTCCTCAGTCTTCCCTCAGTCTATTTATATTTATTGTACTGTGTATTCTAGACTGTATGCAGCAGAATGCCATTGTCTTCGTCTTCCTCGTTTTTTAAGAGACCCATTTGTACATGATTTCCACATCATTGTCTCTCAGAGTTTCATTTTCTGAAACAGGCCAAAATCAGCATACATACACCTACAGATTGTCCTCTGTTGAAAGCACCAATCACTCATCTGTCCCACTGTCCCATTCAAATTCAAGTGGTGCCTTACCAGAGTGAGCAGATCAGTTAACCTTCTCACAGTGAAACCTAAAACAAAAGCTGTGGAGTAAGCCACATCCTATTTCGAAATGGCAACAGTCAGCTTGTATAGCAACTTGTCACTTCATATGAAAACTTTTTTTCATGTTTGGCCAGTAAATTGCAAGTACAATTTTGCAAGTAAATGATCATCCTGTCAACAATGAAAGAAATTTCGTTTAATGTCATCAATGCCGTCACACCCAGCTGTCACCCACCTATACTTGTCATGCATGTTTCGTCAGTACAGCCCATCTCCTTCTTGTTCCACCTGTTCAAAGGGGCACTGATAGTAGGTTGGAAGTTTCTGTTAATTGTTTTGTCACTGATCTGTGTATCATTTTTAAGAACTTGTCACAGTATTAACAAGACATGCTTTTCTTATTGCGTAAATAAAGGCTCGTCTTTTACTGTACTGTTGGACTTTTCTCTTAAATTGATTTATTGCACTTATTGTACTTAAGTAAACTTTGAGTGTTTCTGTTTTTTGCTACTTTATTCTCAGAGGAAGATCTTATACTTTTTACTCCACTGCATTTGTCATATTAACTAGTTACTGAAGATTTTCCATCCAAAATGTACAATTATCTCAAAACTCTGATAAATTGTTATAGAATAAACTACCAGTATATACTGTAAAGAAGTATAAATTTAAATGTGAATGCACCAGTAATAATATTCCAATAAAAAATCCAATAATGTATAATACACTAATTTGAAAAGGAGCTATTCATGAGTAGTTTTAATTTTGTTGATCATTTTTCTGATACTTGTGCACTTAAAAATTAAGAAAAGTGAAAGTTCTACTTTTGACTGATTTACTTAAATTCAGGATATGACTGTCTTCCACCACTGTCCATAGATTATATATATATATGATCAAACCATATATTCTATGGATCAAACTGACCTTAAAATCTTAATAAGCGTTAGCAGGCGTAATGGAAATTAACACTTTTTTTTAAATTAAATAAAATGAAACGTCTAAAATAAAAATAAATAAATAAAAAAGACAATCGAAAAAGTCGGGATAAGGAAATTCTAAATCTTACGGTTTTATAGTTTCATGGTGATTTATTGTATGTGGCTTCTTATTATAAAGCTGTGGGTGTAACTGACATCACACATGTGACCACGTTTAAACCAATCAGGGGCCTGCACCGACGTGTAATCGGTCGCCAGATTATGGTACGACAGGAGGAGAGTGAGGTGGCGACTGGCAGGAGCAGACTCCGGTACGAGAAGAAGTGACTCTTTAGCTGTGTCATTTCTTACCAGGAAACGACTCCTGTTCTTCGAGAAGGCGCTGCGTTCATTGACAAGGTAACCACTTTCGCTCAGTTATTGTGAACACCAGCGTTAGTCGTCTTTTCTGGTTCCCAGTTAGCTAGGCTACAGCGGCTAGCCAGTCAGTCAGGACTGCAGGTTAGCGGGTATGTGATGCTGCAAGGTTTCACTGCTAAAAACCTGCAGGCACTGTCATCCTGATAGAAGCAGAGAAGATAACAGTTGTTCCCTGCATTGCTTTCCTAAGCTGCTAGTCTTTGAACTATACTTTATGCTCAAAACTGTATGATTAACTGACTCCTGACTGGCCGGTGAAAAAGCAAAGCTTATTAATCACAGGCTAACTTCACCTTACATCATCCGCAACAGCAACGCCTGCCTCGGCAAGCTTGTCGTCTTTCCTCATGTCTCCCCTCTGAAGGTTTTGCTATACCTTCTACATCCGTCCATTTTCTCTCCTGTCCAGGACGTTGTTCCTTATTTACCCACAGCCAGCAAAAGCTAAAGTTATTGAACTTGCCTGACAAGCTAGTTCAGGCTACAGTCTCTAGGAGTGGGTGTGGTAGCTGGTACAGGAGCTTCATTCACTTATTACTGGCCTGACGCACATGATGTAGCGTGCTGAGTTCATCAAACAGCAGCTGTGTCTGAAGCAGTGCCCCCTTTGCTGGCCTCTGTGGTGCTCCAGCCTCCAAATCCAGCTTCCTTCATCTCAGAAAACCGTATAGTGACACAAATCTTCACGGCTTGGTGGCCTCAAACAATGGACTGGACCCATGGATTATGGCAGGATAAATACTGGGACATCTGCCTCTGAAAGCATGACAGGATAGCCCACTAAGCCAAACTCCACAGGATAGATATCACGGACCTCTTCCAGAAGTGCTGCAGCTACCAAAAAGCCACTGCTTTTTTTTCAGAAGCTGAAATAAAGCCACCATAAAATGTTATCAGTAACACAGAGGAGATAAGGTGCATTAATCAAGGCTCACTGCTTATCACTGTTTGGTTTGTGTCAGAGGGCTGTAAAGGTACTTCATTCACCTGTATGGGCTGTTCACCATATTGCTCTCCAGCCTTCAGGATTACTTGCATCTCCTTAAATTAGAGCAGTAAAGTTTCAGTACTGTGCCAAAAGAGATATGACCTATACACTATGGGTGTATGCTTATGTAAACTGAGGCAGCATTGGCAGTAATGGGTTGGCTGAGCAGGTCTGACCACATGCTGTGATGTTTAAAACAGGAATGTCAGGACCATTGGTGCAACCGGTTGTCTTTGTGTTTACATTCATCACATCTTTTCTCAGATACATGTATTGTTGTGAGATTCCTTTTTTAATTTTTTTTTTTATGTGAAACCATGTGTTCGGACAGAGATATACAGTAGTAGAAGCATATCTTGTTTTTCACATATTGAATTTTGGTCTAGATATGATTCTGTTTTCTTTTTGGCTTCATGGCTAAAATCTAAGGGTGTGATAGTAGTGTATTAAAACCACTGTGTTTATGTTTTAGTTGCTGCTTTTAGGGCTGGAACCAACCATTATTTTAATTATTTATATTTATAATTAATCTGCCAGTTATTTCCTGGTGTAATCGATTCATGCTCCCCAACAAAACAAAGACACTCCATTTAGAATGATTTTAAAACAGAAAAGCGTCAAATCTTCACATTTGAGAAGCTGGAAACAAAAGTTGCCATTTTTTGTATCAGAAACTTATTCAAATAAATAACTAATCAGTTTAGCTCTAGCTACATCCATGTTCTGAATACTGACATGGGTTTTTGTCTTTTTCTGTTTTTCTTTTTTTCTTATATTCACTTGTTGGACAAAGGTTTGTTGGTTGAAGGAAGGGGACTTAAGTTTGTGCACACTACTTAATGATTTGAGGTGGGGCTCTGTTATTGACTGGATGTTTAAGAATTACTGTGCCTCCGATTTTTAATAAAGAAAAAAATGGTTAAAGGAGGAATAAATCACCTTGAGGATTCACTACCTCCCCCTCTATTTAAGTATGACAGTTGACACCAATCCACAGCTCAATTGGTAAACATGACTGTATCAGCAGTTTCTAGGTTTGGAAGAAAGAGTAATTGAGCTGTCATCAGTCGCATACACAAACCTTGAAACTCAGTATCACGGTTTAATCTGTATATTTTCCAGTGGCTAGCTTTGTCAGCCATAATAGAGAAATGATTGTGTTAGATGAACAAGGACATTAATGCACGTTACTGACAAAATAAGCAAGAAGAACTCTGATGAGTTTCTAAATTTAGGATTTTATATTATGCCCAAAGGATATTAATTTATGATTTATTTTAAGATAAGACTATTTTCAGGTTCTGATGCTGATATAACATGATATAATCATCTGTTTCTAGGTCTGTTTGCATTTTGAACATGCCTATCAGAACAAGTAGCGTAGCATTGCCACTAACCATAGCAAATATCATTGCCAGTCAAGTGTTTTGGATAAATATGTGGCCATGCAGCCGATAGCGAATGCTTTTACAGTTTATCTTAGTTAGAGCCGTTTGTAGCAAGGGATTTGTCACTGTCAAAATCTCAAAGCCAGATAAGTGTTGCTGGCAAGGCATCAGAAAGCTTGAATTCAGTAAAACGTGTCAAGCATTAGATTAAGGGTAGTTAGTCTGACATAACGTTGTGCTTTTACTTAATATTATTTAATTATAGCACATTTAATCAGTCAATTGTACCCACTGTTACATAGCCTGTGCAGAAAACTAGGAATTATTTTCAAGGATTTCAGATTTTTCTTGATAGGATAACACCAATGAATGTTCTGATGACACCAAGAAATAATATAACCAAGTACATTAAATCACATCATATTGTATACATACACTTTCATCTGTGCTGGAATGTAGGTCAATCTCTATCGTGGCTGACTTGGCCTGTAGTTTCTGCTTGCTCAAAATGCACATATGCTAACTTAACCTTTAGGTTTTTGTTTGTTTATCCACCAGTAGATGCATTATGATGTCCTTACTCCTGAAGTTAACCATTGGCCTCCCTCTCCCAAAGGTCCTGTGCTAGCCAGCGCTGCCATGTCGGCGAAAGCCATCTCAGAGCAGACAGGAAAAGAGTTCTTGTATAAGTATATCTGCACTTCAGCGGCCGTGCAGAACCGCTTCCGCTATGCCACTGTAACCACTGAAACTGACTGGGATCACCTCACCCAGGAGCACCCATGGCTGCTGACAGAGGTAAGACTGTTGTACCCTATTAAAATTCACCAGAAACTAATACCTGCACATGGAAAGCTTGTCATATTTTTTTTAAGCCTGATGTCTGTTTGACTTGTTACACCAGTACTGATGCAAATTAGCTTTTGTGGTTAATCTGTTTTCCATTTGCTCTCCCTGTAGCGGCTGGTGGTGAAGCCAGATCAGCTAATCAAGCGGCGCTGGAAGCTCGGGCTGGTGGGCATCAACCTGGACCTGCAGGGTGTCCAGGAGTGGCTCAAAGCCTGGCTCATGAGAGAGACCACTGTAAGTTGACTGTAATCTCTCTGTCTGTCTTAGTGAGCGTTTGACCCAAAACAATCCAGCATTACTTTAGAGATAATAAAATACAATCTAAGAAGTCCAGCTAGAGTAACAGATCCAAGAGTTTGAAGGTTTGTCAGACATCAACGCCCTGCGAAGGGGTTTATGATGCTATGAGGAAGTGTTCTACTTCTCTGGAAATTTATTGTTTGTTACTATGATAACTAGGTTACTCAATATAAATATGCTCTCCACGTTACATCCAACTGGAATATTGCAAAAGTTGGTTTATTTTTTTGGCTGGGTAACCCTTTATTTTCTTGCTCACTACATTTGCTCTCCACTGTGTCAACACAGTGATCTCCATTAAATGACTTGGCTGCATTTTTTTTTTTAATGGCAGATCTAATGTCAGCCTGAACGCAGCTTTATGGGTCACTTAACTGTCTTTTCATCCAGACAAAGAACAGCCAATCTTTTCTGAAGGACTCGCAGTTCTGCGATGATGGAAATTTGGGGCATAAGCAGCCTTATCACTGATAGTGTATGTGGTGTTATAAGAACCACAAAGAAAACTAATTTAAATAATGAAACATCATTGCATCTTACATGCATCTATCACATGTTCCTTACTCTCCAAAGCGATTCTCTGACTAATTATGTTGTAAATGACGAAAACAATGGATCCGGACAGTCTGACCCAAGTAGTAAATCACGAGTGCCACGATTTGTCTTGCACAATATATGGAGAGAATTTAAGCAATGGTTCCTTGTCCCATTTGTTCTAGCCTATGTACTTTTATGTGTAGAAATAAGTTGTGTTCAGTGCCAGAGGCCATGTGTTTATGTTTAGATCTGCCAGGTCAGAGGTTATGTAATGCTAGTGGAGGATGGTAGTCTATTCTGGTCCACCATCCATTCAGACATGCTATCCTGCTCTTCAAACAGGCAGTAGCCTTACATCCACTACGTAAGAAAGGGAATTTATGCTCCAGCCATGCTGTTGGTTGTTACTTTTTTTTAATGTCATATGCCGTTAAAAAAGCAACAACCACAATGATAAAGATGGGACTGACACTGTCTTATTTGGGGAAAAACAAAATCATATTCTGTAGAGTCATTCATTTCTATAGACAGTAGTTTTCTTGTAAAGTTTATAACTAGGTTAGACTAATATACCTGGGGTTTGTGACATCAAGTGTTTGTCTTGAATAGGTGGGAAAGGCAAAGGGTGTGCTGAAGAACTTCCTCATTGAGCCATTTGTTCCACACACACAGGTAATGTGTTCCACCTTCCCGTGTTTTGTCATTCCACATCCTGATTATTATGTTTGAAAGCCAAGGCAAGTATATTTGTGTAGCCTTTAATCATAGATAACATTCGTAGAGAACTGCATAGACCCCACACCAACCAAGAAAACAAACTGTCAACCCACCCAGCAGGACAATGAAACCTCCAGGGCCAGCATACAGAAGCTATTTTGTTTGTTTTTATATGTAGCCCAGTGTGCACCAGAGGTAAATGGTGCTGCAGTGTATATGTGATTTTTGTTGTCACCGGTGAATGTGTGAAAACAGTCTTACCCTGTATGAAGGTCAATTTGGTTGAAAGGAGGAACTGAATGTTGTTCAAGTCTAATGTTCAAACAACTTGTCAGCTCTTTGTAGATCACTGAGAATGCACACTCTGCTGTAAACTCACACTCTGCAAACTAAATCTTTGAAAATGTCTTTGCATGTCCTTGTATTTGTCCCGACTCTTCCACTGGCCCACCCAGGAGGAGGAGTTTTATGTGTGTATCTATGCCACACGTGAGGGCGACCATGTGCTTTTCCACCATGAGGGAGGAGTGGAGGTTGGTGACGTGGATGCCAAGGCCCAGAGGCTCATGGTTGCAGTGGATGACAAGCTGAGTGAGGACCAAGTCAGAGAGCAGCTTCTCACGCACGTTCCTGATGATAAGAAAGAGTATGGCTTCATCCTTTTTTTTTTTTTATTGGATCATTTCTTATCCACACGGACAGATCCACAGCAGTAACACAAACTTAGTTTGTTGAAAATAAGACATAAAGATGTTTTTTTTAATATAAATGCTAAAATAGAAAAGGCTGGTATATGAGTCTTTATATGGGTCTCTAACAGGAAAAATGTAGGTATATGGTAACTAAATAATTTTGTCCATCAAACTCAACTAAGAAGTCATCTTGTATTCGTTCAGTAAGGTACAGGAGTTGGAAGGCAGCTTATGATGTGATGGTACAGCCATTTTGTGATGCCAGTTTCATATATATTGCAATATTGGGTTTATTTGATACTTAAACAGCTGATATTTTTTAGTGATGGTCTGTATCCAGGGGGTGCCAGTTATTGCCATAGATAACATACAGTGACAACCAGCAATGTTTAATATTGTGATATATATTTTTTGTCCCACCTATAACTGTCAGTGGAAACCAGGTTGTGGTGGATGTAATTTGTTATTGTTTGTTCCTATATTTATTTCTCAGTTTCTCACAACTTCTGCCCTGGGATTCAAAGTATGAACCACTGTGAATGGTTTAGTTATGACATATTCATTTTATTATTAATTTATGTTGTTTTGTGTGTGCTGTTTTGTTTGTTTGCTTTTCTCCTTAAAGAGTCCTCGCCAATTTTGTTGTGGGCCTCTTCAACTTATATGAGGACCTCTACTTCACCTATCTTGAGATCAACCCCCTCGGTAAGTTTTTCTTAACTCAATAGAGTCGCATCTCTTCACAATTCAGTATTTAACTCAGGTCTTTGTGATTCCCAGAAGCAAGATTTTTTTTATTTCTGTAACAACACCATTTGTACGTACCTGTAATATATTCAAGAGCATGAATTAAATACATATGTGGATTAGTTATTTATTTAAGGGAAAAAGTTACTAATTTTTGTGCATAAATTGTCAAGTCCAAATGATTGCATTTGCCTTATAACCACAAGGCTCTGTAACACGTTTTTTTTTTTTTTTGAGAAAAAATCAAATTAACAAATAACTTGATTTTTTTTCTCCTCTTAACCAGTCGTCACCCAAGATGGAGTGTACATCCTTGACATGGCTGCAAAGATTGATGCCACAGCAGATTACATCTGCAAGGCTAAATGGGGTGATGTGGAGTTTCCACCACCTTTCGGCAGAGAGGCTTATCCAGAGGTGAGAGCTGAAGTAACTGACAGTAAACCATGCTTTTCATGATCATGTCTGCTAATATTTATTGGATTATAATGCTCCAGTTTGTTTTCTGCTTTCTCACTTTATTCATAGAAGATATACAAGTTGAATACCTTGGAAGAATATGTTTTTGACTTCATAGATTCATTTGTTTTAGTGACTGCATACTTAATCATCTTTATAAGTAAATTCATATTCAAATAATAATAAAATACTTATTTTAAACAGCTTGATTTTGCTTGAATTGCATCCTTACTTACATTTACTGACACTGATTGAAATTAATCAAGACATAGTATCTTAAAATGCAGTTTATGCGTCTGTCCTTGGGCTTGTGGACTCATACACCAGACTGTATAACCGCAATATGATTTGTCACTTGTAGGAGGCCTACATAGCAGATCTGGATGCTAAGAGTGGTGCCAGTCTGAAGCTGACCCTGCTGAACCCTCGTGGCAGAATCTGGACCATGGTGGCCGGGGGAGGAGCATCGGTTGTCTACAGGTAGTCTATTGATTTGTAGGGTTTATGTGTTTTGAGCTAATGGGAGTTGGTGAAACTACTTTGGTTGATGAAAGCTTTATAACTTATTTAATATTCTGTGTCACTTGCCTTGCTCCATGGCTACACAATTTAAACCATGTTACAGTTTGAGTTGCATTGCAGTAACAGATGTAAAGCAAGTTTTTGCCTTTTGACAGACAACCGTTTCATGTTAGCTGTTTGGGGTCTTGGAGAGTCAGCAAATTTTCAGTCATCAAACTACAATCAGGACACACTTATTTGACTGTCCGTCTTCTCTCTCCTTTAGTGACACCATCTGTGACCTGGGTGGGGTGGATGAGCTGGCAAACTATGGTGAATACTCTGGTGCACCCAGTGAACAGCAGACCTACGACTACGCAAAAACCATCCTCTCTCTCATGACACGTGAAAAACATCCTCAAGGTGAGTACAGCCAAAACTTCATTGGGACATTTTTCCTCAAACAAGGTCAAAAAAAAGTAGGCCACAGTTGAATGACTGGGGCGGTTCCCAGACACAGTTATAGAAAAAAAGTCTTGACTGCTTCAGATAGCTAACATTTCTTATGACTGTGGGTGCATTTACTTCAAGTATGTAAATCAGTGTTTGATCATTCTTCTGCAATGTGAGCTGCTTGTTTTCCTGTAGTTTGTCGCAAGGCCCTGGTTCACTGTGTGTATGTTGCCAGCAATAGACTTCATGGCTGTCACTTAGTTATGTTACTGGGGTGTCAAATTTCAGTCATGGGCATATTCTTAACATGTCACCTCCTCTCTCTGTATCTTACAGGGAAAGTGCTGATCATCGGAGGAAGTATTGCCAACTTTACTAACGTAGCAGCCACATTCAAGGTGAAACACATTGATATATTTGTCTGAAACACTGTGTAGAATAAGTTATGGCAACTAGATGTTATCACATCGCCACGTAGTGCGACTAAGCCAGTTAAATCTGTATTCATAATGTTTCCTAAGAGAAAAACCAACCCCAATGCAGTGTTTTGTTTTTTCTGAAGCTATTATATAAGAAAGCAGTGCCTTTATTCCTAGTATGGTATTAGATTAGCAGAGCTGCTAAAGCTTCATTCCTTGTTCATATCAAATAATATTTTTGTCCAAATTGGGCTACTTTTGTGAGTAGTGTCTGATTTATCTTAGATGAATACTTTTGGACAGTGCCAGTTGTAGAAGTTCTTCCTCAGGTCCTGCATTTATACCCTCAGGTCAGTGTTGAATGTCAAATTTTCAGAGTCCGGTTTAAAGATTTCACAAACTCAGCCACTTGTAGCTAACTTTAATGCCTATGTGTATTATCTAAGTTCCTTTGGTTAATAACAACGATAATGATAAATAAGACATTAGTAGACAATATCAAGAACTCTGTGTGAAGCAGTCTCTGTAAGAAGAAAAACTGATTACACTAACCACTAACTTAGATGCAGGGAAGGTAGTGTGTGACAAGAAGCCCTTTAATCCTTTGATGCACATGAAATTGAAGTTTTGCATCTTGCTCTTTGAGATGGACAAATGAAATGACGTTATGTAAAACCACACTGGCATTCCTTGTGTCTCTGACCCACTCTTACTGGCTGATATATCAATTTATATTTTACAGGAATATACAGTGTGTGTGTGTGTGTGTGTGTGTGTGAGATCCACATAGCTGACGTGCCTGTCTCTCCCTCAGGGCATTGTCAGGGCCATCAAAGACTACCAAGGTCCTCTTAAAGAGCATGAGGTCACTATCTTTGTTCGACGTGGTGGACCCAACTACCAAGAGGGGCTGAGGGTGATGGGGGAAGTGGGTGAGTGAGATGGACAGAGCCCACACATGGAAAAAGGGATAGATGTTTTAGTATGTAGTTTTAGTGTGTAATTTGATCATTTGAAATACTTTGTCAAGCAATTTTTAGATATTTTTTTGGATGAAGAGTTAAAGACTAAACGTCTTTCCTGTTGGACTGTATGTTTTTGAATATGCACACAAGTGGTATGAGTGAATGAATAAATGCTAGTTTAAGTTTTTCAGTTAAATTGGCTGGAGCCTTTTCTGAGTGGAGTTTAACTCTAACCTTTTCCTCTGCAGGGAAGACCACAGGGATTCCTATCCATGTGTTTGGTACTGAAACCCATATGACAGCCATCGTGGGAATGGCCCTGGGCCACCGGCCAATCCCTAACCAGCCCCCAATGGACGCACACACTGCAAACTTCCTCCTCAATGCCAGCAACAGTGCAATGGTACTTTTATTCAGTAACTTGCTGCAGAAAAATAGGATGGTCTGCAGGTCATTTGCATCTCTTTTAAACAGATTGCAGATGTTGTATTGCTTGAGACATTCAGGATAATTTCATGTGCTGTCCACCGAGTTAAATGAAATGTTAAATGGTGAACTATTCTCAATGTAAATCCAGTTCACTAATTTTATTGATTGTAAGAGTTAAAGAATAGAATTAATAGTGTAAGATGCATGAACATATAGATGGCTCAAACATTCTGTTCACCCTCCCAAGAAGATGTTGCATTTCAGGTGCATTCACTTACTTGTGATACAGTTCAGTCATGCATGTTAAAACACTGTTTAAGCTTTGAAAGGCCTGGACTTTGGAACTTGTTTGAGTTGAGCTCTATTGTGTAGCACTACATGATACTCTTTTCATGTAGTCTGTATGAGCTCTTTAGCCTCTTTACTTGTTAGCTGTGGCCCTCCCTGTTAGCAAAACATCATTTAGTGTTTCTGAAAATCAAAAGTCTTATTCACAAAGTCCTAAAAAGTGTGAACTTTATTGTGGCACTTTTGAACTTGGGTTAATGAAAAAGCCACTTCTAGCTGGTTTGCTAATTTTCTATCCCCATTGGTGTTTTTATTTATTTATTTTATTTATTCATGCTTCTTTATTGTAGAACCAAACTTGCTAAATACAGATGATATACCAAATTGTCACTGCAGTACATTATAATTCACATAATCCATTTTTAAGCACTGCTCTCTTCAAAAATGCATGCATGTCTAATCAATATTAACTAAATTGTAAAGATATTCTCTCACTGTAAGAGACAGATTGGTAGTTCCACGTTATCATTTCTCACTGAAACATTTTATCTCTCTTTTCTGCACCAGACTCCAGCTACAACAAGGACAGCTTCGTTCTCTGAACCCAGGACGTCCAATGATGCCACCCCAGCGAAAAAGTCTAAAGCAGGTCTTCCAGCAGGTAACTCATACTTTGACACTCACCTCTCCACTGCTTCTTTATCAGCAAGACTCCACATGTACTCATACACTTCTGCTTTTTCATTTCTCTTACCCTTGCTTCCTGTACTTCTCCTTCTCCCCCAAATGTCGTCACTGCTGTTCTGCATTTTAATTTTCTTTCTATTTATCCCCGCTGCTTCTCCTCCTCTTCTTGTTTTGCTGCACAAACTGTCCACTCACCCTCATCTTTTTCATGCTTGTTTCTCTAAGACACTCTTCATTCTATACTGTGGCCTCTGAAGAATGTGGTCACAGGCGATTGGAAAGGTAAGCTTTAGGTGTGCCATGCCCACACAGCGCTCGGCTGCCCGCACACACCTCATTGGTTTGCCCCTTTTTCCTCTTTACCCCTCACCCTCCCAATCAGGGTAGAAAGGATTGTGTTTGTGTGTGACACCTACTTGTTTCTGTCACCTCAGTAGTTTTCCAGGTACAATATATTCTTCAGCAATAAGATTCTAGTATTTTTTTCAATCAGAATAAGTCATCTTTGCACTAAACACTGCAGAAATACTTACTCAAACTCAGCTTTCAGTTCAGTTTTAAAGATGATGCTCATTAATACCAAGATCTCTTGAAAAGATTTGTCATCTTTAGACTGAGTTATGCGCTTTTGTTGTGAAATAGTTATGTTTGTGTCGTTAGAAGTCAGACATTCATCACAGGCCATTTGGAAATGAGATTTTGATTGTGGCTTGACTGTCCTTTTGCTTTTTACAACAATGCAGTAAAGGCATGCTCTGTAGAAGCTGAGCTTTGCATGCTCTTTTCTCTGCAAGGCTTTTTATGGAGTGTTTTCAGATGTGATACACAGTTGCCACAATGCACTGAAGTCTGTTAAATGAACAAGATACAGTAAAGATGAACTCATTTTCTCTTTTTTTTTTTTTTTCTTTTTTTTTTGCTCATTTTGTCATATTTTGTGTTTCCGTCCCGTGGGGTCACAGAAGCGCAAGCCTCTTCTGGCTGCAGCGGAGGTATGGAAGGGTGTGAAAAACCTGTCTTCCTGCCCTCTCCGTCCTCTGTCCACTTCCCTCTGCCTTCCCATTTTTGTCTATTCTCTGATGTTTCTCAGCAGTCTGTTTCTCTTTTTCGCATTCTTATGGTGGCTTATTCTCCTTAAGGGGTCCTGTTTTATCTCACTGAAGTTAAATCGGTTGACAGATTCCCAGCATTCCCTTTCAGAATGACATTGTTGAATCATCTTAAATTTGTATGGTTAACCCTGTAAGTGTTGGGAATTTTAACCATGGCAGTACTTTTTAATCACTTAAAATCACAGTATGTGGTTTCTTTAAGATCAGCTTCATTCTAAAACATTATGCTTCACGCAGGCCTCTGTTAAAGGGGCAGTGATGGTGCTGGACAATTCTTCACTGTGTGCTCGTATCGTAGATCAGATTTAAGAACAGAAGGCAGTGAGCTTGGGCAGAGAGGAGAGACTTTGGAGGACTGGAACAAATGTGTGAAAACATGGTGACTAACTAAACCACAAATGATTCAAGCCACATTGTCAAGTGCTCTGTTTTGAAAGCAGAACATCAGTGTACAGTCTTCAGATCTATTGCAAAGTTGCCTCACCCAAGTCTGGCCATAGATGGTAAACAGGTTGTTATGTTTTTTTTTACACTTCTCATATGGGCTTGAATTACTACTGGGTGGCTGTGGTAACTGGACCTTGAAATGCATTAATTCAATTACTAGTAGACAGCTGTGTCATCAGCACTCAAGGATTATGTCTTTCGGACAAGCTTACGCAATATTCACGCATGGTGATGGGCAAGTGGGATGATGTCTCTTGAGAGCACACAGCAACTTTTATGAACTTAAAGTGGAAAAAGCTTCTTGCAAAAACAATTTCAATGCAGACAGTATTGAGGTAAAATCATCATTGGAGCTCCATTAAATACACTGAATTATCTTGTGTCTGATATTTAGGTGGTTAGAAAAAAAACATTAGCAGAGAAGTTTCTTGATGGTTTAACATAGCTTTTTCCTTCCAAGAAAATTAAGTTAGCAGTTGTGTAATCTCAGACAGGCCTTGTGCAAGACTGACAGTTGTTATTAGTGTGCGAGAATGGAAAGAATTTTTTTTTATTATTATTATTTATTTATTTATTTATTTTTTATTGAACTTCAGACAGCATGGCTCAAAGTGTCCCTATCCAAGTTCTAATTTTAACATTGTGAGGCCCAAAATTAATCCTTTTTAACAGTGTGACTTAAAGGGGGTGGACAAAATAATGGACTGAGTGACTTGATTATTCTTATAAATGTGAGCTATATTTGGCTGAATGCTAATAAACAGCGGCAAAAAGGATTTATGGCAAGTATACTATGACTTTTTATGCCTTACCATACTATGAGGTTTTTTATGACATTTTTATGCCTTACTATACTATGGCAAGTAAATCAACAGAGAAACATGACCTATTGCAGCAGTGTTTGAAATGGTGATTTTGTTACAACAAAGTCTTGAATCATAGTTATTTTTTCTACCTCCTGTGTCTCTGTCCTCAGAATGAGTTCTCTCTGTACTCTGCTTGTTACCATCCCCATTCCTGGTGTTTTTCCTGAGCCAGACCTCCTTCTCTTTTCTGTGATTATTTTTATTTCTCCCTTCAGCTCTTGAGTTGAATCTCTCTCCCTCTCTTTCTGCCCTCTTCAGCCAAAGCCACTACACTCTTCAGAAAACACACTAAGGCCATTGTATGGGGCATGCAGACACGTGCTGTGCAAGGCATGCTGGACTTTGACTACGTATGCTCCCGGGACGAGCCTTCTGTGGCAGCCATGGTCTATCCCTTCACGTAGGTTCCCCAAGATCTAATGATTGCCTCAGTTGAGTGAAATTGAAAAGGGTTGAAACTCCACCGATTTAAAGAAATTCCTACATTAAATGTTAACAATAATGTTAACAATAGGATTTACCACAGAAATCATATTATACACTTGTCAGTGTGAGTGAGACTCAGATCCACGATGCTAATGTTTATATTGGAAAACTGCAAAGACCACTGTCAAGGTTTGAATAACTGCAAGAGTGTATTGAATGAAGGAAACATCTGTTTTCACAAACAAAGCAAGATGATGTAACCAACACGAAACTATTTTGGCTGTGGCAGCTGTTACCAATACCCGTTTAGCAATTTTTAACTTGTACATGTGATGTGTTCAAGCAGGAAATGAGGATAAAAAATGTCAAATCTTCATATCTTTTTATTAAGTCATATTACATCTTGATAAAATATGTTAATCTTTCTTACATTTGGTAGAAAACCAAGACAAAAAGATCTAAAGGCAAGGTTTTTCATGGAAAGAATTTTACTATCCTACTCACACTTTTGTAAAGTAATAATCTTACAGTTGCAGCTTTTGATTAGCAGTGGTAAAAATGGAAGAATAATCTAATCATATAATATCTACAGATAAGTAGATTTTAGTTAAAATGCTCCTGTGAAATTATTTCAAAATAAAATTGTTGCTTCATTCATTTTATTCCCTTTTACATTCCTGTGTTGCCCAGTGGGGATCACAAGCAGAAGTTCTACTGGGGCCACAAAGAAATCCTGCTTCCAGTCTATAAGAGCATGGCTGATGCAATGAAGAAGCATCCGGAGGTGGACGTCTTGATCAGCTTTGCGTCACTGCGCTCAGCCTTCGACAGCACAGTGGAGGCCATGCAGTATCCACAGGTAGAAAGAAAATCTGTTTTCATATATGCCCATAAATGACCGCATAAACATGTGAGTTTCACATAACTTTTATCTAATTGTGTTTCCAGATTCACACTATTGCCATTATAGCTGAGGGCATCCCTGAAGCACAGACAAGGAAGATGATCAAGATGGCTGATGAGAAAGGTGTCACAATCATTGGCCCCGCCACGGTATGCAGTCATAACAGAGACTACTAAAAACAGCATTCTTTAAAGTACTGCAATAGACTGCGAATGTAGTTGTGATTCTCTCTGTCTGTATAGATGTGTTTCAGCAACCAACATATGTAAGCAGAAAATTATACCTTTTCAAAAGGCATACACAAGCTCGTTTGATACCCTTTATTTTCTGCCCCCTAGGTTGGTGGCATCAAGCCAGGCTGTTTTAAGATTGGCAACACAGGTGGCATGCTGGACAACATCCTGGCTTCCAAACTTTACCGTCCTGGCAGCGTGGCGTATGTGTCACGCTCTGGGGGCATGTCCAACGAGCTGAACAACATCATCTCCCGCACAACAGACGGCGTCTATGAAGGTGTGGCCATCGGAGGAGACAGGTACAAGAACTTCTTTGCATACTATTTGCTTGGTAGTCAGAGACAGCTGTCCTGTTGAAGCTTGTTGTAAAACACTTAGTGTGGGACTTGTAGATGATTTTATCCCAGCTGCACAAAAATGTATTCTTGTCTGAAAGACTTCTTTATGGTAGTTCTTATTTTTAATTCCTCTTTATCCAGATATCCAGGCTCCACCTTCATGGACCACGTCCTTCGCTACCAAGACACTCCAGGGATCCAGATGATAGTGGTGCTAGGAGAGGTGAGAGTAAATGTTCATATTTTCAGATGAATATAAATGATCAATATAACTATTATTATAGTGTTTTTGTTTTTTACTTTTATTTTGGCCATGTTGTATGTCATTTTTAACATCTTTCACTGTGACGACCCAGATTGGAGGCACAGAGGAGTACAAGATCTGTCAAGGCATCAGAGAGGGTAGGATAACCAAGCCTGTGGTTTGCTGGTGTATTGGAACCTGCGCCACCATGTTTGCTTCAGAGGTCTGTAGGAAAAAAAATTGCTTTTGGATTCTGTTGTAAGGTGAGGATTCAGGGTTTTTGAGTTGAACTTGTCATACTCTCATCTTCAGGTTCAGTTTGGACATGCAGGAGCCTGTGCCAACCAGGCCTCAGAAACAGCGGTAGCCAAGAACCAGGCTCTGAGGGATGCTGGAGCTTATGTTCCCAAGAGCTTTGATGAGCTAGGGGATGTCATTAGGTGAGACATTTTACATGAATAAACCACATAGTTTATCAGTGATTTTGTTTTCAGGGTTTTTCACTGATATTGTGTGTGTATATGGTGAAACAGGACGGTTTACGATGAACTGGTGGCCAATGGTACCATCATTCCTGCCCAGGAGGTTCCTCCACCAACAGTACCTATGGATTACTCTTGGGCCAGGGTAAGAACATTGATGATGACATGAATGAGTAACAATTTTTTATTTTAAAAGATGTGTGAAATTATTAGCTTGTTTTGATTGTTAAAAACTATGGGCTGAAGGATATTGGATTGTTAAGGCTGACTAACTATCTATATTTGCCAATATTCATCTATTTAGATAGACACATGACATAAACAAACATTTATGATCAGGAGGTTATTGTTAGAATTTGGTATTTACAGAATTGTGACATTGATATGTACCAAGCAGGACATTTTACAGTCGAAATATAAACTTGTCCATGTTTTCTTGTGGACAAAATCTGTAATGACACCACTGTTTCTATTACTTCAAACTTATCTGCACTGCAATTTCTTGTTACTTGTTGGTTGACATATACGCTGATACCAATCTTTGCCTCACACTATACAAACATTTTCCTCCAGGAGCTAGGCCTGATCCGTAAGCCAGCCTCATTCATGACGAGCATCTGTGATGAGCGAGGACAGGAGCTCATCTACGCTGGCATGCCAATCACTGAAGTCTTTAAAGAAGAGATGGGTTTAGGAGGAGTGCTGGGCTTGCTCTGGTTCCAACGCAGGTTGGTGTGACAACAAACACTAATGTTAATCAGTTACTAGGAGAAGAAGTGTTGGCTCATTTACTTTTTTGCAAATCTATTTTCAGTGAAATTCTCTGTCATCCCTCTGTCTAGGTTGCCACGCTACGCCTGCCAGTTCATTGAAATGTGCCTGATGGTGACTGCAGACCACGGGCCAGCTGTCTCTGGTGCACACAACACCATTGTCTGTGCTCGTGCTGGCAAAGACCTTATCTCAAGCCTCACCTCTGGCCTACTCACCATTGTCAGTAGTGGTGACACACAGAAACACTTATACACACACAATAACATAGTGCCACGATCAAAGATAACAGAAGTGATGAAAACACAACAATCCAAAATGCTTGTCAGCAGAAGCCTGTGTGTTAACACATTGAAAGCGGTAGTCTATAGTGTAACTTTTTTCATAACTGTTCCAGGGCAGTTGTTGATTGATATCCCTTTGTCTTTTATGAGCCTCTAGAGCCATATTTTGATTTTAAAACGGTTGAAAGTGACCAATACATTTCTGTACTGACAGTTGATTTATTCATAAATTCCAGGGGGACCGTTTTGGAGGTGCTCTGGATGCTGCTGCGAAGCAGTTCAGCAAGGCATTTGACAGTGGTATGCTGCCCATGGAGTTTGTCAACAAGATGAAGAAGGACGGGAAGCTGATCATGGGCATCGGCCACAGGGTCAAATCGGTATGCGGCGCTCAATGAATACAAATGATGGGGCTGTTTTACATTAAAGCAGGAAGTTGATACGATTTTTATTTTAATAAAGAATTATTCAAAGACAAAGTAATATCTTACAGTTAAGAGCTTCTTCTGAGTTACTTGAATGAATTCAGTAAGATGCAATGCCGGTATTCAAAACAGTTTCTTTGTTTTCAGATCAACAACCCAGACATGCGGGTGCAGATTCTGAAGGACTTTGTTAAGCAGCATTTCCCTTCCACCCAGCTACTTGATTACGCCCTAGATGTAGAGAAAATCACCACCTCAAAGGTACGTGTCAGTTGAATTAGCAAGAGGGGAAGCAAAGCTTGTAAAAACTCTCAAAGGGGCTACCTTAAAAAAGCAAACGGTCTTGAAGGAGAGGTGTGTCAGAAAAGCTACCATCAGAGCAAGGGTCCTGCATATTGTTCAAGTCTTAAAGTCTTCAATCTGACATTTTTCGACACTGTGTAGAGCCTTTCCTCTTTTTTATGTTAAATTGGGCAGATGTTGGCTAGCTTACTGATATTCTTCTGAAATTTTGATAAATTAATTTCTCTCACCTATTTTCAGAAACCCAACTTGATCCTCAACGTAGACGGTTTTATTGGTGTTGCCTTTGTGGACCTGCTCAGGACGTGTGGCGGCTTCACACGGTAAGAATGTCAAACTGCTAGGCTATGGAGGGACTGGTGAGGCATGTAAATCCAGTAAGATGGGTTTTTAGTAGATTCGTTCAACAAGTGCTTTGAAGAGATGCATTTTCTCACCAATGCAAATGTCCTGACTACAATGTACCTCTGTTTTTTTTATATTGTTTAATTAAATATATGTTTATACACTAGCCTCCAATTATAGGTGTCCATAGGAGGAGTGCAGTTGTTGCAAAAAATATCTGTTTATGACTGCATTTTAGTCTGTTATAAACCCTTTAAAGTATTAACAAACAGGATTATTCATAAATACATTTTGAAAAGAATCAGATGCCAAAAGTACATTGTCTGTGTTGGTGCTTTCTGCATTGATAGCACACTGCCCAGTATTGTTCCTCATATGAATGTTGAACTGGTTCCAGAGATGAAGCTGACGAGTTTGTGGAGATCGGTGCACTAAATGGGATCTTTGTCCTTGGCCGGAGTATGGGCTTCATTGGTGAGTCCCATTCAGACTGAGCCATGACACTAACCAACTGTTGAACTATTAAAACAAGACATCTAACTTGTGTCCATCTTGCATTAGGCCATTACCTGGACCAGAAGAGGCTGAAACAGGGTCTGTACCGCCACCCCTGGGACGACATCTCTTATGTGCTTCCTGAACATATGTCCATGTAATCCCAACAACACAGAATGGGGTGTACTTCCTGATGTGACTGCCCATCTCACTTAATGTACATTATGTACTCTCCGGTTATGACAACAGCTGCCTTCGGAAAAATGGGCAGGGTGACTCTGGATAGTAGAACTACTGTCTGTCTGAGGGATCTGGGTAGAAGTTTTCGATCTAGTTTTTACGGAGAAAAAGGGGAAGTATATTTTTAGATTTAGTTTTTGACAAATTATTTAAAAAGTCTGATATGTAACTTATTCAGTTTTGAACAAAGAGCCAAACCAATGCAAACTACAGCAATTGCAGGAGCACAACATCTATTGGTACTTAAAATCACTAAGAGATCTGTTTTGCATAGTTGGTACTAGGGCAGGATTCAAAGCACATTTCAAGCCTGACTCTGTATTACAGAGTCTGATTAAACCACAGTAACAGCTGCTGATGTGAAATTTCTTCAAGCTCAGCAATACAGTAACATTTCTTTTTTTATATCACCTGTAAAAATTAACCATGATTTATTTTAATCAGCATTTTCCTGCTTCAGGCCACAAAGTGCGCTTAAAGCATGCTTTCTGAGTCTTGCACCTTAGTTTAAACACTAGCAAATCTAGGACTAATAAGTTTTTAAATTCCTTCTCCAAGTTTCACTCCCACTGAGAAAGATCTTTGTCATCACAAAATAAACCAAAGTTATTTTTAGGTATGTATTGTCTTTGTTAAAAGCGAAAAAAACAGGATCCAGTGGTAGATATTACAGAGCTTATCTAGATCTTACGTTTTGAGAAGTAGGCACAGTAATGGGATAAAAGGAATCAAACAAAAACACAATAATCTAAGTGTCACTCCACCATTGCCTTTCCTACAACAACCCTGTTCACAACCTCGGTTGTAGACAAATGGTTGATACTCCTCAGCTACTGTAAATTAGGTGCCGTTTTAAGGATGTTCAAGTCTTTTACACCAAATACAAATTGAACTACTTGTGTTGCTACTCTGAATAACTGTAAGAAAACAGGGAAATGTAGAAGCATCAAAAGGGAACACACGAAAAGCTTCATGAATGAGCCCTGTGAATCTTGAAAGTATCTTTTGGCGAGGGACCATGAGAGCAGTTTGCTTTATTTTGGGAAATAATTGCACCTAAAAGATGTGTCAACTCTAAAAGAATTGTTAAAATTAAGACTGGACACTAACTTAGAACGCTTTGTAACTGCCCACTGTACGGCCTGCTGTGTTTGATCTTTGTTTTGCTGTTTTTATTTAACTGTGAAAAAATGCTTTGTTTTTGTAATATGCTGTCATATAGTGGTATAATAATAAAGAACTTATTGTTTTACTTTTCATTTTGGCTTACCTGTATAATGTCTACATCTATTGTAGGTGAGTTGCCTGTGAACAGAGGCGGACCCGACAGGGCGTTACATGAATAGAACCAGAATGTAGGTTTAGTCTCAACATTGGTAGGGACACAACAACAGTAAGGCATTAAAGTCACCAATTAAAATAATGCGCAAGTCTTTTGACTATGGAGAGTATCCGAAGAGAACCCACGGAGGCACAGGGAGAACATGCAAACTCCACACAGAAAGGCCCGAGGCTCAAACCCAGAACCTTCTCACTGAGCACAGTTGTAAGCACTACACCACTGTGCCGCCCCATAGAAAGGTCATATTAAGGCACTGGAGTTGCCAATTAAACTAATGTGCATGTCTTTGGATTTCAGGAGGACGCCAAGCATGCAAAGTCCACACAGAAAGGCCCCAGACGCAGGATATAAACCCAGAACCTTCGCACTGTGAGGCAACAGTTCTTAGTACTGCACCGAGCTACTCCACAAATACATCATTGTATAGTACGGCATAAAAAGTCAGGAAAAGGAAGGCATTAAAACATCATAGTCATCAAAATGTTAGAGTATATAAAGAAATAAAACTTCATAATATAGTAAGGCATAATGAACATCATCAGGCCTAAAAAGTGAAAAAAACTACCTAGTACACTATGGCAAAAAGGTAAGAAAAAACAATGTAATAAGGCATAAAAACATCAAAAAAGGTCACAGTATAGTAAGGCCTAAAAAGTGAAAAAGACATAATATAGTATGGCAAAAAAGTGAAAAAATGACAGTGTAAAAAGGCGTAAAAACACCAGAACACGTCATAGTATAGTAGGTATAAAGACACCATAGTATAGTAAGGCCTAAAAAGTGAAAAAAAAAAAAACACATAGTATACTATGGCAAAAAAGTGAAAAAACGACATAGTATAGTATAGCAAAAAAGTAAAAAAAAAACACATAGTGTAATAAGGCATAAAAACACCAGCAAATGTCATGGTATAGTGTGGTATAAAGAAGTCATAGTATAGTAAGGCCTAAAAAGTGAAAAAAAACGACATAGTATACTATGCAAAAAAAGTGAAAAAACGACATAATGTAAAAAGGCATAAAAACACCAGAAAACGTCATAGTATAGTAGGTATAAAGACACCATAGTATAGTAAGGCTTAAAAAGTGAAAAAAAAACGACATAGTATAGTATGGCAAGAAAAGTGAAAAAACAAAATAGTATAGTATAGCAAAAAAGTAAAAAAAAAACACATAGTCTAATAAGGCATAAGACACCAGCAAATGTCATGGTATAGTGTGGTATAAAGACGTCATAGTATAGTAAGGCCTAAAAAGTGAAAAAAACGACATAGTATACTATGGAAAAAAAAGTGAAAAAACCACATAGTATAGTATGGCAAAAAAGGCATAAAAACACCAGAAAACGTCATAGTAAAGTGCATATAAAGACACCATAGTATAATAAGGCTTAAAAAGTGAAAAAAAACGACATAAAAACATCACAAACCGTCATAGTATAGTAGGTATAAGACACCATAGTAAAAAGTGAAAAAACGACAGAGTAAAAAGGCATAAAAACGCCAGAAAACGTCATAGTAAAGTGCATATAAAGACGCCATAGTATAATAAGGCTTAAAAAGTGACAAAAAACGACATAAAAACATCACAAACCGTCATAGTATAGTAAGGCCTCAAAAGTGAAAAAAAACACATAGGGTAATAAGGCATAAAAACACCAGCAAATGTCATGGTATAGTGTGGTATAAACATCATAGTATAGTAGGTATAAGACACCATAGTAAAAAGTGAAAAAACGACAGAGTAAAAAGGCATAAAAACGCCAGAAAACGTCATAGTAAAGTGCATATAAAGACGCCATAGTATAATAAGGCTTAAAAAGTGACAAAAAACGACATAAAAACATCACAAACCGTCATAGTATAGTAAGGCCTCAAAAGTGAAAAAAAACACATAGGGTAATAAGGCATAAAAACACCAGCAAATGTCATGGTATAGTGTGGTATAAACATCATAGTATAGTAGGTATAAGACACCATAGTAAAAAGTGAAAAAACGACAGAGTAAAAAGGCATAAAAACGCCAGAAAACGTCATAGTAAAGTGCATATAAAGACGCCATAGTATAATAAGGCTTAAAAAGTGACAAAAAACGACATAAAAACATCACAAACCGTCATAGTATAGTAAGGCCTCAAAAGTGAAAAAAAACACATAGGGTAATAAGGCATAAAAACACCAGCAAATGTCATGGTATAGTGTGGTATAAACATCATAGTATAGTAGGTATAAGACACCATAGTAAAAAGTGAAAAAACGACAGAGTAAAAAGGCATAAAAACGCCAGAAAACGTCATAGTAAAGTGCATATAAAGACGCCATAGTATAATAAGGCTTAAAAAGTGACAAAAAACGACATAAAAACATCACAAACCGTCATAGTATAGTAAGGCCTCAAAAGTGAAAAAAAACACATAGGGTAATAAGGCATAAAAACACCAGCAAATGTCATGGTATAGTGTGGTATAAACATCATAGTATAGTAGGTATAAGACACCATAGTAAAAAGTGAAAAAACGACAGAGTAAAAAGGCATAAAAACGCCAGAAAACGTCATAGTAAAGTGCATATAAAGACGCCATAGTATAATAAGGCTTAAAAAGTGACAAAAAACGACATAAAAACATCACAAACCGTCATAGTATAGTAAGGCCTCAAAAGTGAAAAAAAACACATAGGGTAATAAGGCATAAAAACACCAGCAAATGTCATGGTATAGTGTGGTATAAACATCATAGTATAGTAGGTATAAAGACACCATAGTATAGTAAGGCAAAAAAGTGGAAAAAACGACATAGTGTAATAAGGCATAAAAACACCAGAAAACATCATAATATAATAAGTATAAGACACCATAGTATAATCAGGCCTAAAAAGTGAAAAAAAACGACATAGTATACTATGGCAAAAAAAGTGAAAAAACGACATAGTATACTATGGCAAAAAAAGTGAAAAAACCACATAGTGTAATAAGGCATAAAAACACCAGAAAATGTCATGGTATAGTGAGGTATAAAGACGTTATAGTATAGTAAGACCTAAAAAGTGAAAAAAAAAAAACGACATAGTATATTATGGCAACAAAAAGAAAAAAACAACATAGTATACGATGGTATATTACTATGTCTGCATGAATGAATACATTATTTATGTCTGCAATTTGGTAAATATGTATAAATAAAAGATTTTAGGTCTGAAAGAATGTATGAATTAAACTACTTATGTATGTATGTACATATATATTGAAGTATTCATGTATATCTGAAAGTATCTATGAGAAGGAAAGTATGTATGTATGTACTGTATGTATGTATGTATGTATGTATGTATGTATGTATGTTTAAATAAAGTACATGTATGTATGTGTATCATGGTCTGGTATGTCATAAAAACGTAATAGTATAGCAATGCAAAAACAAGTAAAAAAAAAAAGTAGGTATAAGACACCATAGTATAGTAAGGCCTAAAAAGTGAAAAAAATTGACATAGTATAGTATGGCAAAAAAGTAAAAAAAACGACAGTGTAAAAAGGCATAAAAACACCAGAAAATGTCATAGTATAGTAGGTATAAAGATGTCATAGTATAGTAAGGCTTAAAAAGTGAAAAAAACAACATAGTATAGTATGGCAAAAAAAAGTGAAAAAACGACATAGTATAGTATAGCAAAAAAGTAAAAAAAAACACATTGTGTAATAAGGCATAAAAACACCAGCAAATGTCATGGTATTGTGTGGTATAAAGATGTCATAGTATAGTAAGGCCTAAAAAGTGAAAAAAAACGACATAGTATACTATGGCAAAAAAAGTGAAAAAAAACGACATAGTATCCTATGCAAAAAAAGTGAAAAAAAACAACAGTGTAAAAAGGCATAAAAACACCAGAAAACGTCATAGTATAGTAGGTATACGACACCATAGTATAGTAAGGCCTAAAAAGTGAAAAAAAACGACATAGTATACTATGGCAAAAAAAGTGAAAAAACGACATAGTATACTATGGCAAAAAAAGTGAAAAAACGACATAGTATACTATGGCAAAAAAAGTGAAAAAACGACATAGTATACTATGGCAAAAAAAGTGAAAAAACGACATAGTATACTATGGCAAAAAAAGTGAAAAAACGACATAGTATACTATGGCAAAAAAAGTGAAAAAACGACATAGTATACTATGGCAAAAAAAGTGAAAAAACGACATAGTATACTATGGCAAAAAAAGTGAAAAAACGACATAGTATACTATGGCAAAAAAAGTGAAAAAAAACACATAGAGTAATAAGGCATAAAAACACCAGAAAATGTCATGGTATAGTGAGGTATAAAGACGTTATAGTATAGTAAGACCTAAAAAGTGAAAAAAAAAAAACGACATAGTATATTATGGCAACAAAAAGAAAAAAACAACATAGTATACGATGGTATATTACTATGTCTGCATGAATGAATACATTATTTATGTCTGCAATTTGGTAAATATGTACAAATAAAAGATTTTAGGTCTGAAAGAATGTATGAATTAAACTACTTATGTATGTATGTACGTATATACTGAAGTATTCATGTATATCTGAAAGTATCTATGAGAAGGAAAGTATGTATGTATGTACTGTATGTATGTATGTATGTATGTATGTATGTATGTATGTATGTTTAAATAAAGTACATGTATGTATGTGTATCATGGTCTGGTATGTCATAAAAACGTAATAGTATAGCAATGCAAAAACAAGTAAAAAAAAAAAGTAGGTATAAGACACCATAGTATAGTAAGGCCTAAAAAGTGAAAAAAATTGACATAGTATAGTATGGCAAAAAAGTAAAAAAAACACATTGTGTAATAAGGCATAAAAACACCAGCAAATGTCATGGTATTGTGTGGTATAAAGATGTCATAGTATAGTAAGGCCTAAAAAGTGA